TAACAATGCAAAACAAAGTCATTAATTTGGAAATAAAAAAGCCCTACCCTACAAATTAGAGAAACAGGGGGTGAGGGGTGGGAATATAGTTAAGTACAAGAACACAGAAATATTACGAAGAAAACAAAAAATATTCCTATCTGAAATGATCTGGTTGATTTGTTTATTTGTTCATATGAACGGTGGCTATGAGTGTCAAGAGATACCAAATTATCTGGGTCCTTTCAGCTACTGAGTTCCAGTTGACAAGTAGCAAGTGTAGGAACAGGCAGGGACTCATCCAAAAATGCAGGACTCAGTTCAGTTTCTGATTTAGGACAACAAGCAAGACTTTGGTGATGACAGATTCCTGTATAGATTTCCAAAACTAAAAGCACATGAATCACAAACAACTCACCTGAGCTTGGAAACAGAGGGAGAAAAGAAATTCAAGGACTCTCCAGGAGCATTTCTTTAAAACAAAAAAAGCAGTTGAGTAGCAACTTAATCAACTCTCCCAATCTCCAGACAAAGAAAGGATCCGCCAGACAGTCAAAACAAAGGCAGAAGTGACTCCTTTCATGGAGCAGGTATGGATTTTGAGGGGTCCCTGGATGAAACGCTATCTCACCTCTGTAAAAATGGAGTTTATCATGGCTGAAAACATAACATTAGGGGAAGAACTTCCACATTGTGGAAATTGCTAGGCCAAGATGGTTTTCCTCTCAGAGTTCACCATAACCTTAAAGGATCTAATGGAATGTGTCATCAAGCCAATCATTATAAAGAACAATGGGGGGGGAAAAGGAACAATGGAAGTGTGAAAACTGGCAAAGGCTCATTAAAGAGGTAAGCGCAGACAATCACTGGGAAGGACAACTGATGTTATAAAATGCAAAAATGCCTCCGACAGAGTCTGACTCTTCTAACATGCAGGGTATCTCCCATTGCCTTAGATTCCCATGTTAATGCATTACCAGCCCCATTATGCGGGACCCTCCAAATTGAAACCTTTACATCTTCAGCTTTTATCTCTCACCTCAGCTGGTAGCACCACCATTTCCCCAGCATAGATGCTATCAGCATTACTACCCAGATACCATGAGAAACTATCTCTTCCCTGCAAAAATGGCACAGATTAAAAACAAAACCAAGAAAACAGCAAATGCTGCAGAGGTTGTGGGGAAACTGGAGCTCTTTTGCACTGCTTGACGGATTGATTGTAAAATGGTACAACCACTATGGAAAAATGATATGGCACTTCCTCAAAAACTAGAAACATATGATCCAGCACTCCTAAGTATATGTCTTAGAGAAATAAGGGCAGGGACACAAATATACATAAGCCCACCCTTGTTCACTGTAGTATCATTATTCAGGGAGGTCTCCGAACTGTTAGGATGGGAGATAAATGTAGAGCAAAATTCAGATTCACAAAGGAGACTAGATTTATTAGACTAGAAGGAGAGACTGGAGGAAACCCTGACGCCATTGACTCTAAAATACCCTTTTAACATAGAGGATAACATAGAGGTCACCTTTCAATCAAATAATAGACTGGCCTATAAAATGAACAATCACACCCATGAGAAATATGTTCCAACCCAAAAGCAAAAATGAGAAGTCAAGGAAGAGCTGGGACACTGGAGAGATGGAAACAGGGCAGGCGGAGGAAAAGCGAAGAATGCCTACACACTGCAGGACAATCTGTGTGAACACTGTCCAATGCAATACTAATGTGTGGTGTGAATTTTCACTTAAAGCATAATGTTTCTTTTTAAAAAAAGGTAATCTGAAAAAGATACCAAGAGGCTACTACTCTCTTCCCATCTCCTCTGTCCTCTCACAATTGCCCCAATCTCCCCTTTTCTGTGCCAAGACCACCTCTCAATGAAGTTCAATCGATTGAAAATATAAAATCATTCTTGCTAAAACTGGCTCCCAATTAGCAAGAGGATAAAGTCCCAGCACAACCAACCTACACAAGCCCCGTGCCTGCCTCTCTGTGCCCACCTCGTGCCCACCCACAGTCACTCCACAGACCAGTTCCCTTAACATTCGGGCCTGTGTGAGTGTGACTACTGGGGGCTAGGATGCCCATTATCTCCCACCTTGTCCCACCCTCTCCTAAATCTCCTCAATGGATCTGTAGTCTCTGCTGATCTTTCCAGAAAGCTGGACAAATACACCTCAGAGCAACTGTAGCTCTGTAGAAGAGTCACTACTCCCTCTCACACTGTACATGATAAAGGCAAAATTTTCACCCTAAATAAGGTTGCCTTTGTCCTTGGCTCCAGAGAAGTAGCCCTTGCAGTAACTGAGGTACCCCGATCTGAGATTTCCAGGTCACAAATTAGAAGTGGTGCTGGCAAGTGGGAGCTGGCCACATTAGAAAAGATTCACCTGGGACCCAAATGCGGACTGGTCTCTGGAGGGATGATCTAGGCTATCATGTGGAACTAGCCAATTAAAGCCAGAACCTGAAGACTCAGAGGGTCCTCCTTGATGAAGGGGCAACGACATGCTCTATCTGAGATATGGAAGCTCTGCAACAGAAACCTTCCCAAACCTCACCTGTGCATCTCTTATGATGATCCTGATTTATAGAACTTCACTAGCATAAAACCAGGCATTGGAAGTACGTCTTCCATTAGTCATTCCAACAAATTAATGAACTCAAGGACAGTGTTCTCTTAACTTCTAAGGCCAGCCCTACCCGAGGTTGCTATGGTCAGAGAGAGAGAGAATGCTGTTGATTGCCATAGAGTCGAGCACAACTCACAGCAAATCTATGAACAAAAGACCTGAAGCCTTTCTATAACTATCGTTTTTTCTCAAAGTTCATAGAATTTCCAGAGGCATATTGTTCAGGAAGTAGATGTCACTCCTGCTTCCAAGAGAGGTACTACTGTGTCCCAAAACATGTCAGAAATTATGGGAAAGTGCAAAAGCGAGGACACACTCAACCTCTGTGTCTCGGGAAGCTGCCCCACGCTGCCTCTCTCATTCACACTGTCATCTTGTTATACAAGGTCCAATCTTAGTTATTCAATTGTTCCTCCTACAGAGTGTGTATCCTCAGCAAGCTTATTAACACTTGCCACATCATGCACGATCTGGATTTGTTCACAGAGCTGGAAGATGTTACTGGACATAAGGCATTTCCCCTCTCCCACGTCTCCCCAGGTTGAGCAGAGGACACTACTGCGGCTGGAAAGAACCAAAACCAAGCCTACCACCACCATCATATTGATTCTGACTCAGAGTAGCCCTACAGGACAGAGTAGAATGACCCCACAGGGTTTCCAAGGTTTTAAGTCTTTGTGGAAACAGACTGCCTCCTCATTCTCCTATGTAGCAGTTGGTAAGTTCAAACTACCAACCTGCATTTAGCAACTCAATGTTTAATCCACTGCACCAAGGGGCCGTCAGTTCTCTCTCTTCCCTTCCTCCCCACGTCTCACTGGGTGATATAGGACAGCACAGTAGTCTCCATTTGCTTGAGTCTAATGATCAGACATGGAACTCTTTAAAAGTATGTGCACTTAAAGAAAAAAAAAACAGGTATGTGTTTTGAAGCATTTCCTCCCCATTTCGTTGGATTGTTCAGTTCCTAGGGGAAAGTACTAGTGGAGTTAGCCTAAAAGTTGGCTTGGGGTGTTTTTTTGTTTGTTTGTTTGTTTGTTTGTTTTTTAGCCATTTAGCCTCTGGTCTCCGGCTACCTTAACTGCAGGTATATGATCTTATAAATCAGTATGGTCTTGCACATCACCAAATCAGCTTGCAAATCAACTGTGGGACTAAGATAAGAGAAAATGTTTCCCATACTGAGGAGCAAGCTTGAGGAGCTTGCGGCAGCAAGGCCCTAGAAAGAGCAAGGCCCTGGTGATGGAGAGACTGTGGCACTGCTGTGGACAAATGGTGGCAAGGTGTGACCTGAGGTTTCTTGCATTTGTGCTCGCCACGTTAAAGGATTGGTTCTTCTTACCAAATGCCTGAAGGTAAAGCTGACTTATAACTTGCTGGATTACTTGTTTGCTTGGAGGCAACCCTTGCTGGATGATTTGCATTTGACTGCTGAACTGAAACCAGAGCCTGGACTAACTGAGGAATTGTGCCTTGGAACCTGGACTTATATTGTGAGATATTCTTTGCCTCTCCCACTCTCCAACCTCCTTCCCAAACAAATTCCATTGTTGGCACTATAATGGTGAGTCTATGAGTCAGCAGCAAATAAAAGAACCCCTTGCTGTTGCTGTGGCTTTAGAGGGCTGAGCTATGGGCTCTTTATCTGTTTTCTGCTCTGGGGCAGTGAGGAGGCCTTGCTAGTCTCACTCCCTCCAGCCCTTTCAGAGAGACACACATGGTACTATGCCTCCACAGCCTGTTTACACCTACTTAGACAGTAACCAAATGTTTTGTTTTGTTTTTTAATGAGGTCTTCCCATGCGATTTTTCTAAATCACAAAATTTTTTAACACCAGGTTAAAGATGTTATTGTTAGATGCATTTGAGCTGACCAGAATCCAAAGAGACACTATAAACAACAGATCAAAACTTGTCCTAGTCAGAGCCATCCCAACAACGTCCGCTCAAGCCCACTGCTGTGGTCACTATATCATGGGATTAAGAGATGAGTCACTTTGTCTGCCATTTCTAGATAGTAAGCCTTGGTAAGGTTCCACCAAGTAGCTCTGGCTGTCATTTGTTTGAAAGAGTATGTTAAGAGATGTAAGTATTTAGCATATTTATAGAAAAACCTACAGAAGATATTTTTTCTCTTAGTCTTTCAGAGAGTATGTAAGCTAAAAAATGCTCCCAGTATTAATTGTCCAACTTCTTCAAAGAAGAATGTGATCATGACAATGATATGGGTCCTGGTGGCCAAGTCTACATAAGAGAATGGGGAGAAGATATGGCTACAGGTACAGAGCCTCACACCTGGGTGTATTGGTCCAGAAACAAACGGGCCCCAGTGCCCTCTACAGCCTGCCTGGGGTTGACCCCTCGTGGCTACTCACGGCAGTTGGCCTCGTCCTGGCCATCCTGGCAATCGCGATGGCCATCGCAGCGCTTCCAGTTGGGGATACACTTCTTAGGCTGTCGACATTCAAACTCAAACCGGTCACACTGCCCGAGCTGAGTGGTAGTGGAGGTGGCAGTGACATTTGCTAGGAAAATAAAAGAAAGAGTCTTGAAAATTCACTTTTTAGCATTGACGCTGCTAGCCAGTCATAGCAACCAGTTCAATTATAAGATTAAAGCACTTTAGGACTTTCAGTGGGGACCGAGGGGCAAACATGAGTTCTAGATATAAAGTCAACATCCAGAACAACAATTTATCCACTCTCTCTCACAGAATGCCACTAAAGTCACAGTGAAGAGACTGCTTTGCAAGACAAGTTCCCGGCCAGCAATAAGAGCAAAATCTAGTGAGATAGCAATAAATGCTGGCAAAGACGTACAGAGATTAGAATTACCTATCTGCAATAACTTGAGCAAGCAAACAAACAAAAGCCTGTTATTAAGTTTAGGATACTGAGGATGTTCAGAATTTTTCAGTGGATTTTCAAAGAGGTTTGTTCCAAACCACCAAAAGTTTTAAGAACCATGGTGCTAAAAATGTAAGATGGATGGAAAAGAACAGTTAAGAACTAAGCCAGGAAGCTAGGCCAGGTTAAGTCACAGCGCTTACTAAAAAACATGGGGGTGGAGGACGGGGATGGGTGGCCATCAGAGGTTTTCAAACCCTGGGGAAGACATGACTATGAATTAATGCACAGCTTTATTGAGAGATCAAATGAAAAGAGGGGGAAAGTGAATCAGAGTAAACATTTAGGAAATGTTTATACTGATGAAATCTAAGAGTTAGTGATAATCCCAAATTTAATTACCACCAACAATGTAAATGCAAAGGAAAGCACAACAGCTGAATGGATTGTGAAGATGGGGATTCACTTAGAGCTGCTTGCTGAGCTAGGCGTCATTTAGCACAATCTGTGAACATTCTAGTCAGAGAGGGTCTACGACCACTATCTGAGAGGATAATCAAGTTACTGAGTAGATTGGCAGGCCTTGGAGGGGAATGGGAGATACAGAGAAATGACTTTTAAACAATTCCTTTCCATTTGAGAAGATTTCTGGGACAACTATTTGCCTGTTATTGTGGTAGGTACAGTGAGAAACTCTAAATAGGAAGTGATGCAACCCCAAAACATGACATACATACATATGATTACTATGCAAAGAAAAGATTTACACACATAACATAATTATTGTTGTTGTGTGTCGTTGGGTTGGCACCCACTCATGGCTCACCCTCCAGTGGGTTTTCAGTGGCTGTAAATCACACAGGAGAAGATGATCCATCTTTCTCCCAAAGAGCAGCTGGTGGATTCAAACTGCATGCCTTCGGGCTGTCAGCACAACTCCTTACCCACTGTACTACCAGAGCCCCTTCACATAATTAGGACTTGAGACGTCCATATAGCAAATCAGAGTTCTTACACAGTATGAGCTCTTACTGCACTTGACTGCTAATTAAAAGGCTGAAGGTTCCAGTCTACCCAGAGGCAATGTGGAAGAATGGTCAAGTGATTCATTTCTGAAAAATCAACCACTGAAAAAAAAATCAAACCACTGTGGTGCCAAGTCCTTCTCTGACTCACGTGGGGTTGCTATGAGCTGGAAATGCCTCAACAGTAACTGGTTTTCATGTGGCAAATTAAAAGTAAGGATCAAAAGGACAAGGGCAAGTTTAAGGAGACATGAAAAGTGATCCACACAAGCTGTGGAGCTAGGAAAGATCCTCTGAGATGGGGCTTTAGAGAGTAGTGATACTTTCTTGTTGAGGCAGAAGTCTCAACCTTTATGGGCCTAAGAATCACAGGGAGAGCTCTTGAGATTCACCCAGACATTCTGCCTCTATATTGCTGAGAAATATTCCAAGTGATTTCTGACTTAGAGGAATACTGACACTATGTCAAGATTTATATATAAACTACATGCTTCCATTTCTCCTATCAATAGTGGGTTTCACAAACAGGGAGACCCAGAGGGAAAGGCCAAAGAGAGGAGCTTCTAATGAAGACAAAAGTCATGAAGGAGGGGTACAGGCAAAAAGGGTAGATCTGTCCACTGTGGACAAGGACCCCAAGTTGGTGGATTTAAGACCTGTGGAGGACGAAGTGTCAACTCATGTGGGAAGAAATGAAAGGTCTAGATTTGATCTTCTGGATAAGAAGAAACCATTGATGATTTAAAATATGCAAGTGATGGGATGGATGGAAATAGTCTTACAAGAGAAAATAGTCTTCAAGGAGAACGGTTACTATGATGATTGGAGGAAAAGACTATGAAAATTATGGCAAAACAACTGTCCATCTTTTTACTGTAACTGAGTTCAGAATAGAATCCAGTTTTGGAGAAGACACAGCTTCCTCATCTATGCTCTGCTTTCCGACACAGGCATGAATTGATGGGGTCTCTAGGTCGGCCCAGACCTTCAAGGACTATAGCTCCTGCACAGATCTTCAGCTGCCCGTATTTAGCCACTAGATGGCAGCATGTCCCCTTCTTTTAGTTGAAAGAACTAGCAACTAGAAGGCTGAGCTCTCTCCCCTGAGTTTAATATACACAATAACCTTCCCATAATTCCAGCAGTAATTTCCTGCCACGCAGGAAGCAAAGGTAACCAACCAATTGCTGCCAGGATGAAAAGCAGGCTGGCCTTTTCTTACAAATAATAGGTACGGAAGACATTCCAGTTGTGCCCCTTCCTGGTCTGCAGCACATAACCCCAGCACCCCCTTCCATTAGGCTCGGCTGCACCCCCAGCGGCAGGTGCCATGGGAGAGCGAGGCCCACACTCACCAGGGGAGGGGCAGGCCTCCTCATCCGAGCCGTCTGTACAGTCGCGGTACCCGTCGCACACCCAGCTGTCCATCACACAGGCCCCACTGCTGCAGCGGTAGTAGTTGGGAAGGCACGTGGAGGGCCCAGACGTCGGGGAGGGAAGAGCGTGTGAATCTAGGAGAACATCAAGCAAAGAAACCCACAGAGTGTCACAAAGACCTTGGTCCAAGCGAAAAGGTATCCCACACCAGGGCCAAGAGTCCACTCTGTAGCCAAGGGAGGCAGCTGGCAGGGGCTTCCACAGAGCAGGGCGTAAAACCCTCACCTCCTGCACTTTATCCTGGACGGCACTCTCCCCCTCAGTTAGGACACTCGGTTTGAGGGAGCCTTAAGATGAACGTGCTTTCAAAGGGGCTCAGGTACACTGGTGGAAGGAACTCGAAAAGCACAAGGTGGCTGCGGAAATTTCTGCTTACTTATTTCTTCTGGTTCATACAATTGCAGTCACTCCAAGACCTGGCACCAAAATGAAGACTAAATGGAGAGGCTTCTGAGCTCCCTAAGCACTCTGAGGAGCTTGCTAAAATGCAGATTCTGACTCAGGGGCCTGGGCAAGGGACCCCAGCAGGTGTGAGTGCTGCTGGTCCACAGATTTGAGCAGTTTAGGGAGGCTAATCTCCAGAGGGAGCTCTCGCTGTCAGCCCGGGGCTTCTGATCCTTCGTTCCGGCTCAACCCCTGCAAAGACCTGAGCATGTCCACCCCGGCCACACCGAGTCAGAATCTACATTCTGTAAGAATCACCACAGGATCCTGTTAGAATATAAATTCTGACTTGGTGTACCAGGAGTGGACATGCAAATACTTAGCAAGGAGTTGAGAAGAATGAGCCAATTCCCTATAAATACAGAATTAATCATTTAGAGTCCCCTCATCTTGCCCCCAGAGAACTAAGAATCAACAAGCCAGGCAGTGAGAAACCAGGGCTTCCAACTGGTTCGTTCTGAGAGACCACACATTATGGATTCTGAATACCTAGAGTGGAAATTAACATTCAGTAGGGGGTCAAACTGCCACAGAGGAGTTCCAAACTTGGTGAAATACACAATTTGGTCCTGCCAGAATGAAACCTGTGCAGGTACATGGGTGGGCCTCACCTCCACAATCCTTCTCATCAGACCAGTCCCCACAGTCATTCTCCTGGTCACATTTCCACCTGATGGGGATGCAGTGGCCATTCTCACACTGGAACCTGAAGTAGCGGGAACAGTTGGGGGCCTCTGTAGGGTTTTCTGGGAAGATCAAGAAAGGATATCACAGTTATTTGTCCTCTACACACATTCATAGAGCTCCAACAACATGCATCCCCTCAACTATGAGTCCATTCCAACTCAACAGTACAGCACCACTATGGGTCAAGTTTCAAATTCAAGACTTAACCAGAAGCTTCAAAAACTAGCAGCAAGGGAGCTCTGGTGGTCTAGTGGCAAGAAATTGAACTGCAATCCCAGAAATGTGTGGTCTGAATCCACCAGATGCTGGAGAAGGAGGGGAAATCTCCTATACCAGTCAGATCAGATTTGACAGTACACACAAAAAATAATAAAAAAGTCTAAAATAAAAATTTTTTAAAAAATCAACTAGCAGCAACTACTGCTTGGAGAAAATGGGCTGTCAGGAACCTCTCCAAAATGCTGGAGAGCAACAATGTCAGTTTAAGGAGTAAGGTGCACCTGATCCAAGTGATGGTCTTTTTAATTACTTGCTCTGCATATGAAAGTTGGTCAATGAATAATGAGAATGACAGAAAAAGAATTGAAGCCTTTGAGTTGTGGTGATGGAGAAGAGTCCTGAATGACCCATGGACTACCAAAAGAACAAACTAGTTAGTATCTAGTAGTTTTGGAGAAAGTGAAAACAGAGTGTTCCTTGGAGGCAAGGATGGGGAAGTTTCATCTCCCATACTTTGGGTATGTGAGGGGCATGTCCTTGGAAAAGAACATTATTCTGGGAAAGGTAGTGAGTCAGTGACAGAGAAAAAGACTCCCCCAAACAAGATGAACTATGACAGTGACTACAACAACCAGCTCTTGTGTGTCAGAGATGATGAGGACGGCAGCGTCGCTGTGGCCATAGCTGACTTGACAGCACCTAACGACTACTGAGGAGTCCTTCTGGGTGGTGCAAATGGTTTAAGCACTTGGCTGCGAACCGAAAGTTTGGAGATCAGAGCCCACCCAGAGGAAGCTCAGCAAGAAAGGCCTGGTGATCTACTTCTGAAAAGCTCACGGGCTGCAGCCCTGTCCTACACACTTGGAGATGCCGTGAGAGGGAGCTGACTGGGCAGCAGCTGGAATGGAGGGGTACAGGGGTGGCCTGAACCTTGGGGAGGAGCAGAATGAGGATTCTCGCTCTTACCACAGTTGGCCTCGTCAGAGTAATCACCACAGTCATCCATCCCATCACATTTCCAAATCAAACTGATGCACACGCCGTTCTGACACTGGAAACTGAACTCATCACAGACCTTGTGGAATTCAGGATCTTGGGCTGAATAAGAAACAAACAGCCATGAACCAAGGTCATTCCCATAGTGACGACCAATAGTGCTGTTCAGACCAAGAGGCAAGTTGCCTCTTCCAAGAGTTTTTTTCTATAGTAAAGATTTTGTGGCAGCAAAAGCCAAATTTCATCTTAACAAAACACACATATTAAATGTACTTTTTAGGCGAGTGTCTTCCTAAACAGCATGCGTCTGGAAACTATGAACCTTGAGAAACGACAATAGGCTTCAGGTTTTTTACTCATAGGATCGCAATGAGTCATGCTCGACTTGACAGCAACCAACAATAACAACATATACACAGGGCACTATCCTAGGCAATAGGGGACCTCTCATAGCCTGGTGGGTAAGGAGTTGTGCTGCCAACCCACAGGAATGGGGTTTGAATCCCCCAGCTGCTCAGAGGAAGAAAGGTGGACAATCTCTTCTCATATGATTCCATTACCCTGAAGGATCAGCTATAATTCAGTTCTAACTTAAGGGCACATAAAAACATATCAGCCATAGGGAGTTCTGGTGACACAAAGAGCAAAGTGTTTTGCTTGCTAATTATTACTTCAGCTGTTCAATCCCACAGCCACTGTATGAGGAACAAGATGCATGTGGCAGTCCACTTCCGTATATTCGGAGAGTCTTGGAAACCTTACTCTTTCCTGTAGGGTTGCTATGAGTCAGATCAACTCAGCGAGTTTGTCTCTTTTTATTTAGTGCTAGGAATTGGGTACGGTGTTGCAATGGGCACTCTTGTGCGATTCACTGCCTCTGAAACCTGATAGGGGGCAGGCAGCTATGGATCAGTTCCAACTCACTGGCACACAACAGCAGCAGAAATAGGGTACAGTCATGAACAAAGCAGAGCCTCAGTCTCGAGAAGCGAACACCAGGATAGGAGAGACAGTAGGATAAACAGTGGTAAAGGGATGGTGTGCTCTTCAATATAGCACCCAGATGAGGGTCACCTCAGGCAAATCGTGGTCATTGTCCTTGCTCCCTTTATGAAAGGGCAGGCAATCCTCGATCAAAGGTTCACCAGGCCCACAGACAACTCCCACTCATCCCCTGAAACCACTGAGCTCCTCTCACACCAAGGCCTGGAAGCAGCTCGCTCAGGTCCACGCCCTGCTGAGCATGTGTTTCCACACCAGATAAACTGAGTCAGCGTCTACACTTGTACATAATCCCCAGATAGAGAACTACTACCTTAAATATGAGATTAAACAAAAGAACTGCAAAATCACCAGAGGACCTTGGTGCTAAAATGTAGATTCTGATCTTAAATATTTGAGGGGGAAGGGGAGGGGCACACACACACTCTTAGAGAGTTAAACTCCAGTGAATCCCTTCAAAGCACTGCTTACAAAAAAATCATCACAATCACCTTAACCTGCTGAACATGCAGTTTTAAAGGCTTCAATTCAAGCCTTTTCTTGCACTATGAAACAAAAACTAAGACACATTGCCTTCGGCTCATTTCTGACTCACGGTCACCTACCAACAGGTTTCTAAGGCTGTCTGCCCAGCTTTCTCCTTCGGAGCTGCTGGTGGACTTGAACCACATATCTTTCAGTTAGCAACACCAACACACATGTATACCTTGTCAAATAGTAAGTACTCAATAAACTACATGTTACACCACGAGGGTCCCTTTTTCTTGGATAAATAAGAACCACATGTATATCTTCTGATTTACCAATGAACTGAACTTGGGAAAGGACCATTTGTAACCCAGGAACTGCTGGTATGTACCCTCAATCCAGATTTGAAAACAGGATGGTTGAATATTCCACCCCCCAGAGGCCCACCACTTGCAGTCTCCAGAGAACCTGAGTTTTCAACCCCCACCAGTCTCCATGCCACAACCCGTCCCACTTACAGCATCCAGCAAACGCCGCGTCCTCATCAGACCCATCACGGCACTGGACAATGCCATCACACACCATGGAGTGGAACAGGCACTGCTGACGGTTCTTACACAGGAAGTCCATGAAGCGTGTGCACAGGGGCTCTGTGGGGTCCAGATGGGGGAAAACACCATGAGTCCTCCAGGCTGCTGGGCCCATGCACACTGGCACACAACCACAACTGCCACCATCCATCTACTGAGCACTCGCAGTGCCGAGGACTGAGGCAAGCACTTGACATGCGTGCACTGGTAAGCCTCCAAGAAGGCATATGTTTTCAAGATGAGAGTACAAGGACTTGGCAGCACTCACTTAAGTACCGAGGGTGTACAGCTGGTGAGGGTGGAGCCAGAACTGGGATCCAGGGCTGTCTGAAACCCACATCCAAGATCTAAATCACTGCTGATACAAGACTGACTAGATAATGTGGGGTTGCCAATTTTGATTATAAAACGCAGGGAGTGAATGGTGTAGGTTCTGCAGGCCATGAGGCCACTGGAGCAAACCCTCTGCTGTTGGAGGATGGAACAGCTACAGACAACACATAAGTGAAGGAGCAGTGATTCTCAATAAAACTTTACAAAAATCGGGAATCTTCTAGATTTGGCACAAAGCAGGATGACGACACTGGCTCTTAACCTAGTCTGCAAGTTGCAATCATCTGGAGTATTTGAAGAAAATAAACCAAATCAATCAAATGCCCTGGCTTCACTTTAGACTAATCACAGCAGAGTTGCCCATAAGGAGATCCAGGTGCCAGTAGCTTTTAAAGCCCACCACGTGATTCAAATATGCAACCGTTGCTGGGAACCACTGAACCAAGACAAGCTTTCTAAATCTAACAAAACTAAGTAAAAAGAGTGTCGGGAACTAAAAATGCTACCTGAACAATAGTCAGTGATGCTAATAAAAGAAATTAAGCCAGAGAAATAAGTGTGAAATGTGTTATAGAATATTGCAACTCAACACAAAGTATTCATAAAGCAAAAACAATTTTCCAATGATTCCTCTCCTGCCTTCTGCCTGCTTTTCTTTACTCAAATGAAGTCTGTCCTCCAAGAGTCAACATGGTTACCAACTTTGCCACAAGCAGGGATGGAGGAAAAGGAAGGACCGGCCCGTGTATACTGTGTGTTCACAGGCGCCCAGGCCGCACACCTCCCTGCAGAGGGCTGAGGACTCACCGCAGTGCTGCTCATCCGAGCCGTCCGCACAGTCATGCAGACCGTCACAATGCTTGCTGGATGGGATGCAGACGCCATTGGGGCAGCGGAAGCCATTGCACTTCTTCTCTGGAAGTCAAGGACAGAGAAGAAATAATGAGGATGCTGACACAACTGAAGAATGAAACTAATGTCAATGAACAGTGTGTGTCAAGACTGGTGAACTGGGAACCAGTTTTATTATGTGTACTTTCACTAAAAATATAGTTAAGTATTGGATGAAGGGGAAAAAAGTGGACCACCACGAGGAAGCACAATCTGGCCATGCTGTTGTTACATGCAGTAGAGTCAACACCAAATATCCACAACTCACAGCGACCCTATCAACAGCCGACCTGAAGCCTGCCCTGTGACATCCACATCATCTCTGACACACTAGAGGCCACTGCTAAAGACACCATGTCAATCCATTTGACTGGTGTCGTCCTCTCTTTCGCTGACCCTCCATCTTTCCAAGCATGATGGCCCTTTCCAAGCAATAGTTTCACCTGGCTACATGTTCAAAATATAAAAGATAAAGCTTCATCATTTTTGCCTCCAAGGAGCACTCTGGTTGCACTTTTCCCAAGACATACCTGTTCGTTCTTTTGGCAGTCCATGGGGTATTCAGTACTCTTCTCCAGCATAAATCAATAGCATCAATTCTTCTGTTATCCTTATTCACTGTCCAGCTCTCTGATGCACAATAGGTTATTAAGAAGACCATGGTATGAATCAGGCACACCTTTAGTCTTTAAACTGACATAACTGATGTTCATTATTTTGGAGCGGTCCCTGACAGTGAACTTGCCCAATTTAATGTCTCCTGATTTCCTGACGGCTGGTACCGAGGGTGACACTTAATCATACTCATACAGAATCTGTACCTACACTAAGAAGCTTTTGCCCCAACAGAGGAAGGGAGCACTGCATAGTTTAAAATCATGAAGAGTATGTGTCAGTGTTGTATCCTTTCTTCATAACTATTCAAACATTATGCTGAGCACAAAATTGACAAAGCCAGACTCTATGAAGAGGAATGTGGCATCAGGATTGGAGGAAGACTCATCAACAATCTGCAATATGCAAATAACACAATTTTGCTTGCTGAAAGTCAGGAGGATATGAAACACTTGTTAAAGAAGATCAAGGACTACAGCCTGTGGTATGGATTATATCGCATCATCAAGAGAACAAAGGACCAACAGTCTAGATGACAGAGAAAGGACGGAAGCTGCCACATTAGTCACCTAATTAATGCTATAAAACAAAAAGTTCAAGAAGGAGTGCATGTAAAAAAAATCTGATATATAAGCTTTTCCTCAAATAAAAAAGTATTAATTTTAAAATGGGGGGGGGTGCCATCTTATTTGTTGTAATACATTTTCTAACAGACTGGAAACCAGCTCTATGTCCTTCAATATGGGATTATTTAATAAGTTATTATAGTGCAGTAAAATGATGTAAAAATGCGGAAAAAATTATTTATGTAAAAATCAATGTGCCTTAGAGATAAAAAGATGAGGGGGGAAAGTGCAAAACAATATGCATAGTATCTTATTATTGAAAAATAGAATTCACAGTATACGTCATATGCTCGTATACGAACAAAAACATCCCTGATCTATTAATTGTAGTTGCTCTAAGGAGAGAGTGAAAACAGACAGACACAGAACACTTTCTTCTATTTTTTCTATTTTATCTATTCTGAACCATGAAATTTTTCTGAAAGGGAACTAAGTGAAAAGTTTCAGTAAGTGTGAAAAGGAGGACATAAAAGCAGATTGTGAAAATCATCGTTAGATTTTATAAAAGTCCTTTTACCTGTTCACACCTTAAACCTTTAAGAATTCTAAGTCTAAGCCAATCCAGACAAAATGAGTCCTAGGAAATGTCAAATGATTGAAGTGTTGCACCTAGGTCCTTGGGAAATAAAAAACAAACGATCCTGCTGTTTGTCTCAAGTCCTTGCACCAGGACCCCCTTCCTCCTGAACAGCAAAGATCACCAGCCCTCAAGCTTAGACATCGGTTCTTACGTGGCAGCTGTAGCCTTTGCAAACTCAAAACCTTGATAGAACAGGTATGGATCAGGTGCATTCACTCACGGCTGGAACGGATTCATACTTGATCCTCCTGTGGATTTCCGAAGCTATAACTCACACAGGAAGAAACTTTTTCACCGAGAGAAGCTGGAGAATTTAAATTGCCAGAGAAGTACTGCCTTTGTTGAGCAGCACAACTCCCTACTGATGTCACCAGAGCTCCCTAAATGTACTTTAATCTTGTAAAAGGGCATTGTTCCTAAGTGATTAGCCATAAGGCAAGTAAACAGAGAAACAATGAGTACTCCTACTTAGAGAAAAGAATCTCTGGGTATGCCAATGGCTAACTGAGCTGTTAAGCAAAAGGTTGGCTGAGTGCACCCTGAGCAGAGCCTCAGAAAAAAGGCCTGGTCACATATTCCTAGACACGCAGTTGTGGCACCATTCTACTCTGATATACAAGGAGCTGTCATGCGTTAGAATCATTTTGGTTGGTTTTCAGAATCACTAAGTGTTTTTCTTATAGAAATGTTTAAAGTCACTAAATATAAAATGAAATTATAAAGGATAAGCTACTACTAACTACTACTATTTACTAGGGAGCACTGGTGGCCTAGTGGCAAGAAGCTGGGCTGTAATCGCAAAAGCATAGGGTTCAAATCCACCAGCTGCTTTTAAGGAGAAGGATGGCAATTTCCTCTGATGTGACTGACTGCCTGTGAAAAACCTGCTGGAGGGTCTGTTATGGGTCAGTGAAGATTTGGCAGTACAAAGCAAAAACTCCTACTATTTACTACTCACTACCGAAATGAAACTGGCTCATAGCTGACCCTCAAGCAGGTTTCCAGAAGCAGCAAATCAAACAAGAGGAAAATGTTCATCTTTTTCCCGAGGAGCAGTTAAATTTGAAACAGCTGCCATAGGGTTGGCAGCACAGATCCCTACCCACTGGGCCATCAGAGTTCCCTAACTAAGCCTCATTAAATTAGTGAAAATATCTAAAAGATAAAATGTAACATCAAAGCAGAATCAGTTGGAAATGTAATCTGGGAACTACAAAAACTGATCAGAAGCTGTGACCCAAGTAATTGAATTTGAGGATCATATCCCAGGAACGCTCTCAAAACAAAAACAAGCAAATCATTTCCAAGACAAGAAGAGTGTACTGTGCATAACAGGGTAAAACGAAAAACACCCAAATGCTCCACAAGGGAGTGGCTTAAATAAGCCAGGTTATAGCAACAGAAAGGGAAAATCTACAGTTTCTCTAAAATCTTAAACACAGAACAAGATAAATCCATTTATATAGAGAGCATTTATATTAAGTATAATAACCCAAGAAGCTAAGAAGGCAGCATCAGGATTGGAGAAAAACTCATTAACCACTGATGATAGCACACCTCGCACAAGCTTGCTTCCTCAAAGAGAAGGACTTGCTTGAACTATTGACTGATGAAGACCAAAAGCTACAGCCTTCCACACGGATTAACCCCCAGAGTAAAGAAAACCAAAAATCCTCACAAGTGAATCAAAAGGCAATATCATGGAAAAGGAAGGAAGGATTGAATCTATCAAGGATTTCATTTTATTTGGATCCACAATCAAAGTCCGTGGAAGTAACATTCAAAAAATCAAGTGATGCATTAGGTAGATCTGCTGCAAAAGACTTCTTTATGGTGTCAGAATAAAAGCAAAAATGTCACTTTGGATGAATGCATCTGAACTGTGGTATTGGTAAAGTTTACTGTCTCTACCACACATTGCCACAAAAACAAACAGATCTCTCAAGGAGTAAGTGCAGACAGACTGCCCCTTAGCAAGGACAGTGAGACTTCACCTAACATACTTTGGACATGTCATTCAGTCCCTAGAGAAGGACATTATGCTTGGTAAAGTAGGAGGTCAGCCAAAAAAAAAAAAAAAGATAAAGACCCTTAATGAGATAGATGTATACTCAGTGAGTGAGTGGCTGTAACAATGTGTTCAAATATAGCAACACTTGTGAGGCTGCAGCAGGACTGGGCAGTGTTTTATCCTGTTGTACTTAAGGTCACCATGAATTGGAATGACCTGACTGATGGCACTGAACAAGAACAATGATACTTAATACTGTGCATGACAAAAGTGTTATTGTTGTTGTTGTTATATACCATCAAGTTGGAATCGACCCATAGCTGACCCTCCAGCAGGTTCTCAGAGGCAGTTAATTATACAGGAGGAGATTGCCTATCTTTCTGTCACAGGGCAGCTGGTAGATTCAAACAGGGAGCCTCTTAGGGTGGCAACACAACTAGAATAAAATTCAGACAATGACTATACTCTCATGAAAATCTCCAATATACAGGTAAAGGATAAAAACAGAAAAGAGAACCTTATAAACAAGTACTTGATATAAGGAGATACACATTGTGGTGGTGGTGGTATGTGCCATTGAGTCATACAGCAACCCTATGTACAATATCTCTCAGTTCTGCTTTACCCTGAGCCAGTCTGACTGTCACCGATACAGCTACCCTCACTTCCCCACTTACTGTGTCAATCCAACTCACCCAGGGGCTTCCTCTCCTGTACTGTCCCTCCACCATTCTGAACAGGATGTCCTTTTCCACGTTGTCCATGCTCTTGGCCCCATGCCAAAGTACATGATACAGAGCTTCAAAGTCCTTGCCTACAAGTAGCAGCCCAGTTTCACCCTCTCCAGGATAAACCCATTTGTTCTCTTGGCAGACCGTGGTATGTTCAGTACACTTCTCAAGCACCACAGCTCAAAGGCATCAATTCTTCTTCTGTTATCTTTAGTTATTGTCCAGCTGTGCAATGCATAGAAAGTAGTTGAGAAGACTATGGCCTGAATCAGATGTACCTTAGTCTTTAGAGTGACATCATTGCTCCTCAGCTCTTTTAAGAGGTGCCAGACAGCAACTTTCCCTAGAGCAATTCATCTTTTGATTTCTTGATTGCTGGTGCCAAGAGTGTTGATTATGGATCTGACCAAGTTGAAATTGTTAACAATCTCAATCTCTTCCATGATGCTGAGACAAAATCCAGTTCTTCACCTTCTGCAGCAAATGCTTCAGGTCCTCCTCAGCTTCTCTGAGCAAGGCTGTGTCATCTGCAGAACCCCACTATCTGGAACCAAGTCCCCCACCCCTAGAGTCATGCAATGAATGCACAGGGTGGCACGCCAGGCAGGCACACCCATGTGAGCATGCAGGACCAGAGCACAGCAGGAGGTCCTCGCACCAAAAGCGAGAGATGACGCTCGCTGCCACCGCTGGCAGCAGACACAGAACAGGAACTGCCAGCCTCCCAGGAGATAGCACACACAGAGGTGCCACCCCCTGGGATCCAGGACGCAGAAAGATCATGAGACGAGGGCAGTCGTGCCTGGCATGACACAGCACAGGAGGGCGTATATTGTGTATGGTCTACTATTTTGTGAAAGCTTATTTTCTACGGTAGACATCATCAACTATTTCAGAATTTTAAAAATCACTACATTAAAATCATTCTGGAAATTTCCAAAAGTTTTATAACAGAGCACTCTTAGCCATAAAAGCTATTTTATCTAGGAATTGGTAAATTAATGCCAGGACAATGGAAATGGGGCTACAGTTAGAAGGCTGGGTTTACTAAGTGGTTTTTCTACTTCTGTTCTTCAAAGCTGTTAGGGAAAAGTAATGCAACAAACTGCTTGCTTGAGAATGACATCCATCCTTCCAGCCTACATGGGAGCTCTGGTAGTGCAGCCCATAGTGTGCTGCTGATGCAGAGGTGGCACCCCTTTGCCAGAGTGAACTGATCCACCAGCAGCTCTACAGGAGAAACATGGGCAATTTACAGCCTCTAGAAATCCACTGAAGGATCACCTATTGGTCAGTGCTGACTCCAAAGTCAATGAGCCTGAAGGATGTGATTCCCTCCCCACCCCCATCAGTACATACTATTTAGAAATAAAATCAAATGCTCCTTTGAAGTGAAGATTGCATGATTCTATCTTGTGAAATTGACCACATCATCAGGGAAGACCAATTAGAGCAAAGGATCTCCCTTTTGGTAGAGCAGGTCCGTAATCAAGGGAAACGCTCACGATGGCTATTATATGTCACAAATCATGGCACTTATGCAGGGCTGGGGAATGCTTTGTTCTGTTCTCAGGCTGCCCTGAACTGTAGCTGAACTCAATGGCCATCAACAACCACCACAGTACACACAGCAGGGCAACACAGAGGCTGGCCTGTTCAACTGTCAGCATAGTTGCACAAGTACAACGTAACAGTATGCCCTTTCCTGGCCCATCGGCTGTCTCTCTTCCTAAACAGCAGACATTAGAGAACTGGGTGGAGGAATTTGCATTTACCACAGTTGACTGGATCCTCATCTGAACCATCTTGGCAGTCCGTGTCCCCGTCGCAGGCCCAGCGCTGGGGGATGCAGTGCCCATTGCGACACTGGAAATTGGAGGCCTCACAGGTGTGATAGATGGCTGCAAGCAGAAGGGGAGAAAGAACGGTCATTCCTCCATCATCTCCAGGCCCTTCATCAACCACTTAAGCACCTGGCTGAAAAGCAAGCTGTACCACACCAACACGTAACTGTCAGTTTGTCACACTGTGGTGGCTTGTGTGCTGTTACGGCACTTGAAGCTATGCCACCAGTGTTTCAAATATCAGCAGAGCCACCCATGGCAGACAGGCTTCGGTGGAACTTACCAGCTACAAGGAAAGGCCTAGCGGGCTAATTCTGAAAATCAGTCAATGTAAACTTAGGGATCATACAAAATATTTTCCAACATATATGCTATGTACAAATAGGAGCTTATGGAAGATGAGTCGCTGTCTCAGACTAGAAGGCACTCAAAACACAAAGTGACTTAAATGATGGATTCAGGCACATCTACGGTCATGAGGACGGTATGTGGGATTGTACACGGGGCTGCTGTGGGGCAGAGCTGACACTATGGCAACCAGTATCAACAACTAGATACTCAAGCATAAACTGAAATATCTATGGTTCTACTCAGCCAGCAGCAGGGGGCACCTGGAGCTGACCTCAAGGCAGATTGCAGCTTCCTAAATGGGTGGTGATTTAAGTTCCTACGAGCTTAGAAATGACACATTGTCATTGCACAGGTACAGATGCATGTATTAAAGGGGTAGCTGAGAACAATTATTAAATATTCCCCTTTTGCAGATGAGAAGCAGTCTTTGAGAGAGGAAATTTGCCCACATTCACAGAGATCAGTTAACAGCCATGGTCTTCTAGTTCCAAAGGAGCCCGGCTAGCAAAGTGTATTCACATGTTGGGTTGATAAATGAAAGGTCAGCAGTTCAAATTCACCAGCCACTCCAAGAGAAAAAGAGGAGCAATGTCCTCTTGACAAGATTTATAGTCTCGGGAATTTGTTTCATGGTTATTACGATTCAGAATCATCTATTCTGTGGCAGCATGTATGGACGCATAGGATGGTAGAGTTTCAAAGCCTATGCTTCGTCTATCTTCTCACCTAAACCTTCTCATTCATTAGAGTCTGAGGAATGAAGAGCCTGGGCTCTAGAACCAGCCAGGGCACTGTTTGGGGGCCTTGGTTTCCTTATCTGTATATGTTATCTAAGGACCTTTCTTAGCAATAAAAGTCCATGCTTTTATAATTCTGAATAACTAATTTCCATTGTCAACTTGAACAACTCAAGTCCAAAGAACTGAAAAGATTTATTCAAAATTGTAACCAAAAGAAAGAGAAAGTCTCAGAACCTAAAATTCCCTGACTTCCTGTCCTGTCCAGAGCAGCATCTACCAGCCAACAATGCCAGGCATCCATTATAGCCATTAAGAGGAAAAAAGAACAGTGAAACAGAGCGACGTTGTTCTAAGTGAACAGCTTCATTTGTACACAAGGGCCGGGCCACCTGGAAGTCATTTAGAAACATCTCAAAACCTCAGTCAAAGACAGTGTTTAAATGTATAATATGTGCCCCAGACCCAACCAGCACCACTAACCGCCTTCTCCATCTGATTCCCCCTTCCTCCTCTTAAACACAAAGCTGTTTGTGTCTGTCCTCTGCTGCGTGAAAGCCAGAGCTGGTCTTGTTTACAACCAGCATCAAGTAATATAACCGAGAGAGAGAGATAGCTCTCTGTTAGTTTAACTGTGGACTGGCTGTCTTCACAACAGGCGGAGGCAAAACAAACAAAAGAGGGTTATTGACTACAAACTGTAGTTATTTATTCACATAAGAGAGTTGGCAATACATAAGGTCTGAGGAATCTAGAAAATGTCCTGTAGAATTTTTACAGAATTTGACGTTTATTTTGAAAGGGTCAGAAATAGAAAGAACTTGACTTTTTTCAAACCACCTTAGAAGAAGTGATTGTCTGTTATGTGTGACTTCTTAGAACGCTCTGATGACCAAGGCCATCCTCTGTGTGTTCAAATAAGACTACCTCTGTGTGTTCAAATAAGACTAAAGGAAGTTTCTGTATTTTACAACCTTTGGCACTCAGAATCCATTAAACATCTTTTAAAAGATATATCTAAGGGAGTAGGATTCCCACTCTTTTAAAACTTTCCAGAAGAATAACTTTGAAAAGGAAAATAAGAATGGCTGTATGCATAAACAATGTAATAACTGTCACTGAAATATGCTGTAGAAATTGTTGACTGGTGTAGGTTTCACTGCATGCACTTTCAATCACAATACTACATTCATTTAATAATAAAACAAATTATTAAAGTAAACAAAAAAGATGTATCTATTTGATAAGATAGAATGACTGTATCACGCATGTTACACAAGCTTTTGCACAAGTAAGCCACAAGCATCTTTTAGGATGCCTTTGATGCATTGGTTTCCCAAGTCTAAAAGTCCTTTTAAAAATTCCTCACCAAAACCTTTTTCATTTATATAAAATATAAAATAGCTTGAACCAATTTCCATACCCATCTACTTGTTATTATTCAGCCTGTGCATTTCATTTTTAATTGAAAACCATTTCAGAGTGTTAATAGCATTTCCAAATGACAATTCTTAGGGGCAAATCTATCATAGACACTAGCTCAGATTCAAAGACTAATTGGTTTGCACAAATTCATACAGTGATAACATATGACTAGAATGTATAACTCAGAGGGCTTTTCTTGTTTATGCCTTTTTATCTGTCCTCTTACTAAGAATTTCTGGAGGCAAAATGCATAATGTTATTGGTTTGGCTGCTAATCAAAAGGTCAGTGGTTGGAAACCACCAGCCACTCTCAGGAGAAAGACGGGCAGTCTCTTCTACAGATTCAAAGCCTTTGAGACCTAACAGAGGGCTCCAAGGACTTGGAACTGACTCAGCAGCAGGGGGGACACTGGGACTTTAGTAAATATCTGCCCTGTCTGTGCCCCAGAAGTGGGCACTGAGCCCCAGAAGGGACTCAGAACTGACTCAGCAGCAGGGTTTGGGCTGGGTTGTTTTACCAGCTATGACTTTGGGTGCCTGATAAATCATACATACTTTTTTGGTTTTCATTATTAGAATGGAAGAGATTGACCTTAATCAAGACTGAAAATTGTGAGCAAGAAAAAGAAGTCTTTGCATGGTACTGTGATGATATGAATGTTACGGCTAAAGAATAAATACAACAGAAATAGAATATTAGGGTTTCTAATAAAAAATTATTACCCTATGACTTGGGAATCTGGCAGTGCAATGGTTGATAAGTGAAGGTCAGTGGTTCAAAGCCAGCAGCTGCTCCCTGGGGAAAAAGCTGTGACTTACTCTTCGACTTGGGCTCATCAGCGAACCTTGATCCAAAGTACTAACTAATCATAAGTGGGCCAGCAGAGATTCATTGGTTACTACACTGGGGAAGGCTCTACCTCGTTTCTTAGAAAACATGGGGCTATTAAAGAGCACACGAGGACAAAGAAATGCTAATATAAACATGGTGTGTCCTAGAAAAGAATTATAAAGGACAAAGAAAGAATACTGAAAAACAGTAATACAGAAATTCTAGATACTAGAAATATAGTCCTAAAAGTAAAACTATCCCAATGTGCATGTATTAAATAGATAAATTCTTGCTGAAAAGAGAACTGGGGAGCTGAAAGATAAATCTGAGATTGTAACTCTGACTCATGCACCGAATATTAGAGTAACTACACAAACTTCTTGGAGACACAAACAACAGAATGAGAGAGTCCAGGACATGGTTGGGAATAAATATAGTAGCCAAGACTTGAAAATAGCTGAAGAGATATTGTTGTTGTTATGTGCTGTCAAGTCGCCTGTGACTCATAGCGTACAACAACCCTAAACCCTGCTCTATCCTGTGCCAATCACACTGCCTCTGACACACCCATCCCGATTACCCTAGTCATTGAATCAATCCAACCTCATAGAGGGTCTTCCCCTCTTGCTCCGTCTCTCCACCCTCCCAAGCATGATGTCCCTCTCCAAGGACCTGTCCCTCCTTAAAACATGTCCAAAGTATGTCAGATAAAGCCCCAGAATCCTTGCCTCCAAGGAGCAGCCTGGTTTAACCCTCTCCAGGATGAATCGGGTTGTTTTCTTGGCAGTCCATGGTACATTCAATACTCTTCTCCAGCACCACAGCTCAAAGGCATCAATTATCCTTCTATCCTTCCTAGTCACTGTCCAACTCTCTGGTGACTATAATTTATAAGAATTGATCAAATAAATAAATCCTTAGATTTTAGAAGAAAAGAACGGTTTCATGCAGGATGATTTAGGGTGAGCGGGTGGGTGGGCCAATTCTACACCTAGTAGAACCTACATAATAAAAAGTGAACAAAAAAAATATATATAAAGAAAACTACAGAGAAAACAATGTATGACAACCTAACAATCAAATTAAAATCTGTAAAGAGAGACCAGAAAGAAATGGAATCATTTCAACAAAATAGTTATAGCAAATAACAAAACTAGAATCTCAAGCTCCTTTGGATTCAAGATCTAGGGTGAAATAAAGGCATGTTTATACTTACAAAGCCTTAAAAGAACTTATGACTTAAAGACTCCTACACAGAACTACTGGAGGATTTTCATAAAAGAAGAGGTGTTCATGCGTATTAGAGATGATAAGGATGGCACAAGATAGATTCAGATCCATTGTGCACAGGGCCTTGAGGAGTTGACTCATCGGCACCTAACAACAAACAACAGACTCAAGACGTGGAATAGCTAAATAGTCTGACAACTCTAACAGTAAGTTTTATTATTAAAAAGGAATAATAATAACTGTTAATTTTAGGATTTCTAACATATTAAATCATAACAGCATGAACATGTGGGCAGAGATTGTATTCAAAGTGTGCTAAAATCCTTATATCGTCTGGAGGTAAAGAGAGATATCAAAATGTAAATATAGTATGTACATACAATAGAATATTACTCAGCAATAAGGAGACATACATATAAAGTTCGGATGTTAAGTTCTCATTCCTTTAGTGTTCATAGGATTTGAGAAGAACACTGAGCGTCTCATGGACGGCAAAGAGAACAAACAGATATGTTTTGGAGAGGGTGCAGCCGGAGTGCTCTTTGGAGGCAAGAATAATGAAGTTTTGCCTCACATATTTTGGGTATGCTGCTGGGGAGGGGGGGGCTATTCCTTGGAGAAGGACATGATGCTGTGAAGGGTGGAGGGTCAGCGAAGGAGAGGAAGACCCTCAACAAGGTAGACTGACATGGTGACTACTGCAATGGGCTCCTGTGTATCAGGAAGAATGAGGACGACACAAGATAGAACAGGGGTCAGATCTTTTGCTCATAGGGTCACTGTGACTTACTCGACTCCACGGCTCCTAACAACAACAACAATTTTAATGGCCTAGTGGTAAGGAACTGGGCTGCCAGAAATAAACATTTACTTCAAAAAGCAAGGGGGTAAAGAGGAGTAATAAAACCGTAAACAGTTCACCAGAAAGGAAAAGCGCAGGAGGGAAGAGCAAAAAAGAAGCATGATGCAGAGATAGCCCGGAGCTGAGGCCACTGGACCTCAGAGGGCTTGACCTATTTTCTTTAGTTTTGGGGCAATGGCTTAATTTATTAGAACAGGAAACAAAGTGTCATGTCACACATCTTAATGAGCTCACATGTGACCTCTGACTATTTTGGGATGAGAGAGAAGAGTCATCTCTAGAAGGTTTGGGAAACCAGCTACTAGAACAAGGCTGCAGTTGAACAACAGGAACTATAAATTGTCCCCTATTGGCCCTGTCAGAAGAAAGCCAGAGATAAAGCCAGGGGTTTAGAACAAACCCACCCACGGAAATGAAGGTGCTCATTCATTCTGAAAGGCCAGCACAGGCTGCTGGAAAGCAAGCCTGACTAGTATGTTGTGCTGACAAGATGTTCAATCACACTGCAACTTACGCCCAAGTGCTTCCCTTTAATTTGTAAAGTCGTGGTTTATCAGGACTCAAAACTTCCAAACAGCATTCATGTGTCCCTTGGTCTGACAGCAGTTCCTTCATGGACTGTCACTGGCCTTCTGCAAGCCATGCTTGTCAACAGACAGAAACACTTTATCTAGGAGAAGCAGACATGTTGACACCAAGACTTGGCCAGAAAGGATGGGGTGCAATTCACAAGGGGATGGAATCTGGCAGCATCATAAAACAGCCTGTGATATGCAAATGGATTTTTAGGAAATCCATTTTGTCTTTAAGACCACCTCTAAAAGAAAATGAATAGCATTAAATAGCTGCGTAAAATTATGCCATCAACAAAGATGCAATGATCATGCATTCACCCAGTGGAGACAGTGAAGAATGCAAAGGAGTAAAAGGCAAGGTCATTGCTGCCCTTTAAGAAAGAGAACTCAGCCAGAGTAAAAATCAAGCTTACTTCTATTTCAGTTTATGGCATGATTATTGCCTCCTTTCCCTTCAGTAGCAGATCTATCTTCTTTACATTTGTTTTCACAAATCAGTTGGCATACTTTGAGCTCCCAAACAGAGCTTCAAGTTGGTTCATTCAAGTTCAACCTCTTGTTCATAATTTGCATTTCCACCCCATAGCTGCTGCCTCAGAATCCACAGTTTAACAAGATCCCTGGGTGATTCCTTCCTATCTCACTCGCTCACCGACGGCCATTACTGACTCACAGCTGGCATTCCACTGGGCTCCAAAGGCTGTACATCACACGGACGGAGCTTGCCTATCTTTCTCCAGTAAAGCAAACAGCCAGGGCTGTAATGCTGGGGTGCAGTAAAACATCCAAAAGACTAACAGAGCTCCCTAACAGCTCCTTCTTATGTTTTCTTATTGCAATTGAATCAGAATCAACTCATAGCTGACCCTACAGAGGGTTTTCAGAGGCTGTAAATCACAGGCGAAGGAGATTGCCTATCCTTCCACAGAGCTGCTGGTAGATTTGAACTGCATGCCTTCAGGTGGGCAGAGCAACTCCTTACCCAGTATACCACCAGAGATTCCTAATGTATGTCAAAATGTAGATTCTAATTCCATTTATCTTGAATGGAAATGCAAATTATCTTTAGAGAATCATAACAAATTCATGGGAAGCCCTGCTGTCAGATTTGACATATGTAAACTTTTGGGGTACTGGGTGGGCAAGGGAAGAAATAATATGGGATTTAAAAGTCATTTAGATAATGCACAAGATTAATATTATATATCGGACAGTTGAAAAGTTGACTCTAACAATGTACTGCAAAACCAAATCTGAGTTATAATTTAAAAGCAGATATGTCTATACTATAGTTAAGCTGAACATGCTTACCTCAACTGCTGTAAGAACTGAACACAGAGAGAACTTACTCATCAGGCAGTTGCAGTGGGTTTTTCTTACTCCACCTCCTCCCCCGAGACCTTGCTTCCATATTTAAACGACCCCTATTCATTCACTCATAATGTAATGCACATAAGTGAGCCGTCCAAGTAACAGAAGTACCAGGGCATTACCTGTAACTTACACCTATATAGCATTGTTCTCAAATTCTCATTGGCTGTTTCAGTGCTAGTCAAAAATAAAGACCCCAGATCTGGTACCAGTCTGTGAACTATTTATTACTGGTCCTAAGAAGCATGAACCAGAATTTAAATGAAACTGTATCATTCAGGGACATTATTAGGTTCGGTTGGCATTTTGCCCTAGGACTTTCTCAGTGAAGGAAGCAGGTTGTTGAATGACACTGATTCTGGCACATGCCCATTATGCTATCATGGACCAGCTCTTTGCAAAGCCCTGGACTTTCTGATTGCTAAGGTCTAAAACAATTCTCAGAGCCTAGTTTCTAAAATTATGTAGGGCTGTGATGCTAACCAGGACATGAACGGACTCATAAGCAAGTCCGGGAACTACTAACCGGAGCAGTTGGCTTCATCAGACCAGTCCCTGCAGTCATTGTCCCCGTCGCACACCCAGGAGGCACGGATGCACATGCCAGAGCTGCAGTTATATTCATCACTCCGACACTGGTGCATTTCTGTAAGGGAGACCACAAACACAGAGTTGAAGACCAAGTCATGCCAGACGACACCAAACCACGGACCCCATGACTCAGAAGTCTGGCTCTGGTATCAAAGCTCATAAGGATAGACCTGTTAAATTATCAAACATAGCGTGATGGAAGAGACCTTTAACTAGGAACATAAGGTCATATGGGATAATTGCCCAAATGAATGACAAGTATGCTGAGCTATCAGCCCCTCAGACTTCTGCAACTCTTAATCTCTGGAAAAAGCCAGCTTTGTTCCTTTATCCTTTGCACTCCATAAATATTATTCGTTTCTATGCCAGCTAAAGGAAGAAAAACTTAGAGATCTTCTCCTGAAAATCAGCTAATGAAATCCTATGGAAATCAAGGGTACAACCTCAGTATACATGGGACACTGTGAGTAAGGCGTCGACCTGAAGGCCTCCCACAAATCGTTTGTTACAATGGGAAGAAATGGTCTAGGAGATTGATGAAGCAATGGGGAGGAAAGAAGACTTCTAGAGTCTATGGTTTCAGAAAAGTTAAGGGAGTGCTGAGTATAAATAAGTAACAGGAGATGTTCAGTTCAGGCAAAATAAGATTAGTGCTGAACTTACAAAGAAAGAAAAGGTATGTAAATGAGATATTTTGTGGGCAAAGCTCAGAGATGTTGGTGGGTATGTTGTCTATGGCAGTGTGAGAGTCTTGGCAAACAAAACCTCAGGCTGCCAATGACTTGAAAAGAGCCTGCAACAGTGATATCTCTTGCAAGATTTTGTAATTAGAAATTGTAATTAGACTTGGTCATTAGAAAGCCCTGGTAGACTAATGGGTAAAGAATTGTGCTGTCAACCCAAAGGCAGGTAGTTCTAATCTACCAGCTGCTCTGAGGGAGAAACATGGGTCATCACTTCCTGTGCAATTTACAGCCTCTTGAAGACCTGCTGGAGGGTCAGTTATGAGCTGGTTCTGACTGGGCAGTAATGAGTTTTGAGTGCATGATATCATAACCACAGAATTTTCTAACTACATTTTAGAGATTCTCAGAAAAATAGGAATAGTCAAATATGGGGCCCACACTCTCTTCTCAAGAGGCAGTTAAAGACTAAGCTGGTGATTCAGATACTTAGAGGAAACAGTCTGGAGACTCGAGAGGTAGACCAGATCTAAGAAAGGGATTAACTGGGACCTGGGGTAGGTTCAGGATAAATTGGAAAGAATGGGCCATAAATCTAGTCATGGGTTGCTTGAAGGTCAAGTGTATGCCTAGTACGTGAAGTAGGTGGCAAGACAGCTATTAACATGTGGACTTCTCTCTTACTGTGGCAAACTGAGCTGTGCACTTTAACAGTGCTGCATGCTGGAGAAGACATGGAAGGAATGAAAGGAAATCATTGTGAATGCAGGAACATATTTTCACATATTTCACATTTGCAAGATGAAGGTTCTCAAAAAAAGATCCTCCTATAGCAACCTAGGCTAGTCTGCATAAAAGCAGCCCTGGAAAAACAACTATGAGATATCATCTCACCCCAGTAAGAAAAGCAAAATTTAGCAGAACAGCAAGCATCAAATGCTGGCAAGGTTGTGGAGAAACTGCAACCCTTATGCAGTGTTGGTGGGAGTGTAAAACGGTGCAACCACTGTGGAAGGTGGTAATGGTGCTTTCTCAAAAAGTTGCAAATAGAGATACATTTGACCCATCAATTCCACTACTGGGAATATATCCCAAAGAGATCATAACTGACATCCAAGCAGATATATGCACACCCATGTTTATTGTGGCTTTCTTTGTTCACAATAGCAAGGAGTTGGAAACAACCTAAGTGCCCATCAACAAACGAATGGATAGAGAAGCTGTGGTATATTCACACAATGGAATACTATGTTGCATTGAAAAACAAAGAGCTCATGAAATATTATGCAAAATGGATGACCCTGGAGGACAGACTGAAATATCTCAGTCACAAAAGGACAAATATTGCATAGGGCCAAGTTGTAAAATGAAACTAATACCAGGGTTGAGGGAAGACAGAAAAGGAGGGGAGGAGTGATGTATATTGCATTGAAACAGATGAGAGAGAGAACTGTTTAAAAAGGATATATGAATGGGTATTCTTGTCATTACAGAAGTCCAGAGTGAAGGCTTCACAGTGGAGTGGACTTTGGGGGGAGGGACTGCATAACAATGAAAGAGTTTTTCTTTCTTTTCAAGGAGAAGAGTGAATTGGTGGGGAGGGTGTGGGCAGGGAGAAAAGTGCAGCAATGAATGACTGAAAATCCTAAGTCTCTGTAAACTTTTATTAAAATTAATTTTAAAAAAAGTTCTAAAAATAAAAAGTGGCCCTGGATAGGCTCATTAGATTGACCAAGCAGAGTAATTACAAGCACACCCCTGCTTCCCTTACCCCAGGGTGGGTGGGTCAAAGTTCCTACTCATCTGGCAGCAGCCCTGTCCACCTGCATGTCCTTCCCTGCCTCTATGGACAAGGGAGAGAAGCCCAGCAGGCCCACTCTGACTCAGCACAATGTTTGGGGCTTGTGTCTGGACTCCATCTTCACTTCCCTTAATGCCTGTGTTCCTTCACTCTGGGGCAGCGTGTTTCCTTTGTGGACAGTCAGCAGCTACATATTAGAATCCAAGTCTATTGATGAGGACAGACCCTTGTGGAACTGACAAGGTTGTTATGCAACAGAAAGGACCCAGGATTAGAAAACGGGAGAAATGGGGTCCACTTCCCCATCCTGCAGTAAACAAATCCTGTCCCCCTGAGCAAGCTCCTTGACCTTGTGGACTTTGGTCACTTAATCTCTGAACTTAAGGGTCTACAATTTCTTACCATTCTAACAAACTGAATACACACAAAATATTCCTTTCAGAAAACAGATCATCAGTTAATGCTTCTACCACATGCTAACTCAAACAGAGTAAACTGAGATAGACTGGCTAAAGACAGATCACAAAGGTGCAGATCTGTGTCTCTGATAGGCTAAAATCTATAAGCTATGTGTGAATCTATAGGCTGCTAAAATCTACAGTCATTCACAGGTGTGGGTTATATTGATGCACTGGTAGTAACCACCTGAACTTATGTGGAAAGCATCCTTATGCTTACAGTTCACCCCTGGGCATCTCTGGTAAAACCAAAATCCTAAGCAGCTGCTGTAGAGTAAATCCCAACTCATGAAGATCCACATATATCGACACAGAACGGTGTGCCACTGGGCTTCCAATGGCTGGCTTCTCAATAGATCTTTCTTTCTAATGTGCCTCCGGGTAGAATCAAATCTCTACCCTTCCTGGTAGTACCACCCAGGGTCTCCCTGAACATAAAGCAGTGCTGTTGTCCTCATTTCACAGATTAGAAAACTAAGGCTAATCAAGAACTGAATAAAGCTATGAACCCAGTGTCCCATTTACTCTGGATGAAAGTGTTCCAGTGGAATTGAGCCTTGAGTCCCCAGCAAACAGCACTGTCAACCATGATTCCCCATCTGGACCCTGCGTCCCCTCACCGCAGTGACTCTCATCACTGTTGTCTCCACAGTCATCCTCCAGGTCACATTTATAGGACAGTGGAATGCAGGTCCCAGACTCCTGGCAACGGAACTGGGTGTCCAGGTCACAAACAGTGGTTGCTAAAACGGGAAAGAGACGGGATATACCTGTTAAATGCAGCCACTTCTTCCTACACACATACCCACCCCTGGAAAAGCAATTAAAACAAACAAAAAAGCAAACAAACAAAAAAGAAGCAGATTTTCATTGCAGCTACAGATATTAAATCTAGACTTACAGTAGAAAATAATTCAGTAAAAACCTGAAATTCACAAGCAAGGGCTAAGGGGGGGGGCGGGTATCTTTCCATGGACCGCTTCCATCTGGACAGAGCTGAGAAAAACTGTCATCTGGTGACAGAGGACACTAGGACATTGACATCTGGCCAGGATAGTGGTCGTTAGATCCCCTCTAAGATCTCTTCATGTGGAGGGTCCCTTCCTACGTAAGTGCCAGGGACCCTGCGTCTAGAAAGCCACCATTAAGGAGGCCCAATTTCACACAGGACACTGGCACTTGATAAAGGCCATATGGAGATACAATAGTTCTGCAGAGACATGAGCTCTGCAGATGTCCAGCCTTAGATTTGTCTCTCCTTAGAGTAACTCTAACTTCCTAAGCCTCATTTTCTTCAACAGTCAAGTGGGGGAAAAATACATAGCCAAGTTCCTGCTACCAGTCAGGAAGACTAGTTCCAAATCTTGGTTCTACTACCTACAGTTTAACTCTAACCATCTGGACCTCTGCTTTTGCTACCACAAAACAGGGAAAATACCTCCCTCGTAGCATCACTGTAAAGAATACAGAAACAAAGCTGAGGACAGCGCCTATAAAGACACAAACACAATGGCTTGAAGCAAATGTCAGTGCTCTTCCTCAGAGCCCCTTGGCAGCAGGATGAGGACAGGATTAGATCTGTTCTCTCTCCTGCATAGAAATGTCCTGGGCTTAAGCACAATCCCCAGGAACCAGGAGAAAGGCCGCCAGAAAAGTTCCGAGAAAGAAAGGCTGTTCTCAGGAGCCACTGAAGGACTGACATGACAAAACACAACCCAGGGATGGCGCGGGCGGGTGTGCAGTGACATGAAAAGCCGAGCGGCATCGCTGCTCGTAGACACCCCGGCAGCGCTTATTTGAGGCTCCATTTCTCCTCTGTAACTGAGCTCTGGGTGGGAGGAAAGGGATGAATGCAAAACTGACAAGACTGCAGGGGATTCACAACGAAGCCCTGAAAGCCTGACAACCGCCCAGCTGGAGGAGTCTGGTTAGGAGGGAGAAGAATCCACCGATAGCATTCCTCCCATCCTCCCCTCCCAGCGCCTCATCCCTGGCAGCTGATGGGACGCTCTCTTCCGATAGTGCCTGTGGTGACCTGGGCCTGTCCCGCAGCCCAGTCCGGCACAGGGAGGGCCCTCGCCAACAAGAAAGGCACCTCTCTCCAGGGCCAACAGCCTTGATGTGAGGGATCCTGGGAAAGTAAGTGCATCTCTTGTTCCTATTATTGTTTACCATCGAGTCACAACTGACCCCTAGCTGACCCTCCACCTGGTTTTCAGAGGCAGTAAATCGCACAGGAGGAGACTGCCCATCCTTCTCGTGCAGAGCAGCTGGTGGTCTTGAACCATGTGCCTTCAAGATTGTAGCACAGTTTCTTACCACTAGGCCACCTGCATGCAGATCTCCTCACCTCTGTCACATCTGACCTGCTAGGACGTGAGATGTTCAGAGATAGGAGTAAGCTGGCGCTAGGAAGCTAAGGTCTCAGGGCCACACTTCAGTGCTGTACTCCAACACAGGCGACATTGTCAGGATTTGGAATCTATTCAGAGGCAATTGGTTTGGTTTACTTCTGCTTTTTCAAGCCTGCCATTCTCCCTCTGGGTGAAAGACAGTCAGTAAAGCCCAAGGAAAATGATGAAGGAAGGCTTTTGATAGCTAACAGGCAATGGGAGGACACACCACAGTAGGGCCCAAAGGAATTTAAGGCACTGACTCCTTCTTAGCTGCCTTCCAGGTGAAGAAGAGTGTGGACCTGGCTAAAGTCTCCACTAAAGGCCAGGTGATCTTTTTAGGTAAGGTGACTCTGGGTAGACTTGAACCTCCGACCTTTCATTTAGCAGTAGAATATGTTAGTCAGCTGCACTACCCAAAGATGTTACGTTGGTAGTCAGGAATCTAGAAAGCATCAGTTCAAAGAAGCTGTTCCTTGGCACGCATGCCCACACCCCACAGCCCAGGCCACATCAGGCATCACTAATCAATTAGACTGCTCTCTCTGGAGGCAGGCAAGTTGCCAGCATCAACTGCCTGGGGCAGCATATGAAACAAAACATTTGGCAGGCTGACTATGAAAATCTAAGCGTTTTGTATTTCTTAAAGACAAGCTATCAAAGACCATCTATCTGCCCAGGGTCATCCACATTACTGCTACTATAGGGTCAAGATTGCAGGCCAGATTGCCACAACTCAGCTCAGTTGAAGCCAAGTGATGGTTACTTAAAAATTTCTAACAATAAGTGTCTACTCAAGTGGCGTTATTTCCCTAGCCTTAATAAAGTATAATATCTGAAGGTGGAAAAGGGTGTAACTGCTTATGGAAACATTATTTCTTGAGTACCAAAGTCTCATCAGTTTATATGGTCTTTGCTAGTCCCTGGTGCCCAACCCCCTGAGCTAGAGACACCCCTCCCCGAGTTGGAGACTTCCCCTGAGCTGGAGACACACACCCTCCTGAGCTAGATGACCCCCCTCTGAGCTGGAGATCCCAGAGTGAGCAGGCTCTGACCAGCCTGGAGAACCAGGTTCAGTGTTCAGCTTTCTGGGGACATAGTGAAGCCAGAAGACTCACGGCAGTTCCGCTCGTCGCTCATGTCTCCACAATCGTTGTCGAAGTCGCACCACCAGATGCTGTTGATGCAGTTCCCGTTGCTGCAGCGGTACTGGTTGCGCAGACAGGTGCTCCCTGGCCAGCAGGACCAGAGGGGAGGAAATGGAAACAGCATTAGCCTCACTGCTGGGCCACAGGGTTTTCCATCTGAGCATCCTCAAATGACATGTCTCAGATGGTCAGGGGAAGGAGGGGTGGCAAGTACAGGAGTGGACGGAGAAGGACTCATCTGCTGAGGGCCTCTTTATCCTGATATTGGTAAAAATGGAGAAGAAGCAGGATGAGGGGGTTAGGGTGAGCAGAAAGGGCAGAGATAAAGCCAACTACGTCTACTGGGTAGAGGTTACTATACGGCAACATTACAAAATACTAACTTCATGGTCTCTCTCCATATCTCTCTCTAGCGCTATCTCATTGCTGTGGAGTTAAGCAGGGCTGTAATTGCATGGGAAGCGAATGTCCATCTTTCTCAGCAGTGGGTGGATTTGAATTGCCAGGGAGGCACCACCTTAGTAGAGAAACTCTCTCTGGTCTAGGACTATATCACCAGAGCTCCCTACTATCAACCCACTAACGGGCTATATACCTACACAGTATTACAACACACACGTTCAATGTCTACATTCAATCTATACAGTGAATCCTGCTGTGAAAGCTAGAATTTGGCATGACTGCCTTCTTCTTCCGTGTCTTATCAGTATTTGGCTCTGATAGCATGCAGTATTACCACTTCTCTGACTTCATAAGAAAGATCTGCATTTTCCTTCTCCTACAGGTTTCTGCCTTATACAAGTTCCAGCTTCCACAAGTTTGGCTTCACATACATTCATGCTGTAGACATAAGCTTCATCTATCAACCAAGCAGTTTGCTAAGATTCTTTTTACTGCATATTCTTGGAGGAGCTATTTGGCCCCATGGCTTCCTTAAAACAAGGAGTTCTAATTCCTTACATGTTGTTGATTGCCTTCGAGTCGAGCACAACTCATAGTGACCTTATGAAGAAAAGGCCTGAACACCCTCTACAACTACCAACATTTATCAAAGTTTATAGAGTTTCCAGAGAGATGTGCCACATGCCCAAAATATGTGAGATGCAGCTTCAAAATCCTAGCCTCCAATGAGAAATTTGGTATCACTCTCTCCAAGACAGACCTATTTGTTTTCTTGGCAGTCCTCGGCATGTTCAAGATTCTACTCCAGCATCACAACTCGAAGGCATCTATGCTTCTTCTTCTATCATCCTTAGCCATTGCCCAACTCTCTGAAGCATAACAAGTAATTGAGAAAACCATGGCCTGCGTGAGGTGCACCTTTGTATCTAGACTGACTTTACTGTTCTTCAGCACTCTGGAGAGGTCCATAATAGCACATTTTCCCAGTGCAATTCATCTTTTAATTTCCTGACTACTGATAGGGAATACAAGCAAGTTGTAACTGCTAACAACCTCAATCTCTTTTCCATCTATTACGGTGTTGCCAATTGGCCCAGTGGTGAGAATCTTTGTCTTCTTAATGTTGAGCTTCAATCCATATTGAAGACTAAGGTCCTTGACCTTTTGTAGCAATTGTTTCAGGTCTTCTTCAGTTTCAGCAAGCAAGGTTGTGTCATCTGCATATAGGAGGTTGTTAATGAGTCTCCTCCAATCTTGAGGCCACACTCCTCATAAAGCCCTGCTTCCTGAATGATCTGTTCTGCATACAGATTGAAAAGGTATGGGGACAGGGTGCATCCCTGATGCACTCCTTTCCTGATTTTGAACTATGCAGTGTTTCCTTATTCTGTGCTGAGGACTGCTTCTTGGTCCAAGTATAGGTTTCATATAAGCACGATCAAGTGTTCTGAGACTCCCATTTTCCTCAAGGTTTGCCACAATTTCTGGGATTCACACAGTCAAATGCCTTTACATAGTCAATGAAACACAGATAGATATTCTTCCGGTATTCTCTACTTCCTGCCAAGATCCATCTGACATTGGCAATAATATCCCTAGTGCCACGACCTCTTCTAAACCCAGCCTGTATTTCTGGTAGTTCTCTGTCAATGTACTGTTGAAGTCTTATCTGGATAATGTTCAGCAGGATTTTGCTAGTTTATGATATTAGTGATATTGTTCGATAATTTCCACACTCTGTCAGGACACCATTTTTTGGAATGGGAATAAATATGGATCTCTTCCAGTCAGTTGGCCAAGTAGTTGTCCTCCATATTTCTTGGTACAACTTGGTGAGCACGTGCAGGGCAGCATCTGTTTGCTAAAATACATCAATTGGTATTCCATCAATTCTTGCGGCTTTATGTTTTGCCAAGTCCTTCAGAGCAGCCTATACTTCCTTCCTTCATCACCAATGCCTCTTGCTCAGGTGTTGTTTCTTGAAATTCTTCTGTGTCAGCCAATTCTTTTTTGTATAATGACTCTGTCTACTCCTTTCATCTGCTTTTAATGATTTTTGAATCATTCAATACTCAGCCCATAGCATTGAGGGGGGAGGGGAGAAACACCCAAAAAACCAGAACACACTGTTTTATAAACTGGGTCAAGGACATGTAATAACTGGCCTCTTGTTCGGGTGGCCAACGGCACTCAGTGGGGAACATGGAAAAGTCTTCACACTCCTCTTGGAACCTCCTGCTGACTCCATGGCATCACAAATAGCTCTAAGGGAACATTCAGGGTCAAAGTCTCAGCTCTCCAAGCAGGAAAGGCTTACCTTCTTTCTCATTTGTACTTCTTAAGGATGGTGGATTATAAATAAGTGTAAGATGCTATATTTCACTGTCCTGGACTAAAAAGCTGCTGGGATAAAGGAGGTTATGTTCGAGAAATAGAAGCTTGGAGACAAGGAAAAGCAGGAATTCTAGACTGCAGTCCCGGAACATCATAGCAAAGTCTAATCCAAGGGGTTTATCGCAAGAGGGAAGTGGTAGGTGTAGTAACTAGAAATGAAACATCAAGTAAGTTTTTGGAGGAATAATTTTAAAGGTAAGGCTAGAAGAGCCTGGAAGTACAGACCCCACATCAGCAGGCTCAAAGCCCTTTGAAACACTGCTCCAAATGCCAGGACACTGTAGGGACTGGAGTGGGTGGCGCAGAAATTGCCAGGCTGCCTGGGGGAGTCTGGAAGGAACAAAGTCAGTTCTTTTCTGGTCAGGCTGGTTCACCTTACAGGACTCAGCAGAGACTGGAGAACCTAGGTGGTGGGATATGGGTGCGTGGGGGAGCGAGAAAAAGCTTAACAAAAGGGAGACTGTGAGGAAGCCTGGGACATGAAACTAAAAAGCATAGCTACTGTTTTGTACAAGCAGCTTACGGCTGTTTGAGAGAAATAATCAAGTTCGACGGGCCTCGATGCTAATCTGAATGTCTCTAGAAATCTGTTGATATTGGCATCGGACCTCAGCTCACAGCTACCCCATGCACAATAGAGTGTCTGGTACTACGGTCCACAGGGTTTTGGTTAGCTAACTTGGGCAGTCAAGCCAACGCCTTTCTTCCTGGTCTTTCTCCATCTGGAAGCTTTGCTGAAACCTGTTCAGCATCAGAGCAACCAGGAAGCCTCCAGTGCCAGATAGATGGCTACACCTGAAGTGCATTAGCCAGAAGCCCATCTGCATTTTCTGCACATTTGCAAGAATCCTCCCACTGAGTCATCACTCCTCATGCAAGAGTCTACCAGATTTGGGTTTTATCTAGGACCTTTCTCAATAACCTCAAAAAGACTAAGGAATAGAGCATACCGGAGAGAGGAGGGAAGGAGGAAGTTGGGCAGAAAAGGAAAAGGGACACACCTTCTTTGACACAGGTGTTGTTTTCCAAATGATACCCCTGAGGGCACTCACACATCAGGTCCCCAGAGGGCAGGACCTTGCTCGGCACACCATCTGGGCATCTGCAGCTTCTACTGTGATTGGCCTTGGGCAAGCAGAGCAAGCTGCAAGGTTTGGACACACAGGCATTGCTTCCTGGAGTGGAGACAAAGAGCAGAGGGTAATAAACACAGAGCACTGAATGGGAAAATAATGGCCAGTCAAACTCCTCTTTCTACAGACTCAAAAACATGAAGGTCAGAAAGGCACAGTCTGGGTCCCTGCTGGGCCAGTAACCTCTGCACAGAAGCCGAGCAAAGGCCTGACCAATGAGTTCACCAAAGACTTACCTTCCGGCCTGAGCTGAATGACACAGCTCCAGGATCAAGCTGGGGCAAGCAGATGATCCTCCCAAGGATTAGAAATCAGAATGCTGAGAGACTGAGGAAGTAGCCAGGGGAGCTAGAGCTGCGAGAAAAGTGCCCTAGGTGTCAACAGGGTACCACTGCAAGGGAAAGGTGGAGACAAATGAACGCAGCTAAATGTCAGTCTGCTGCCAGTGAGAAGACAAAGGTAGATTTAAGGAGAGAAGAAAGGACGAGGCCATAATCCTGGAGGAAGAATGACAGAGAAAGAGACAGACAGACTGAGAGCTGCAGCTATGCCAAACCCACGACCAGTCCCCATAAGGCTCACCGACGCTTTCCATCACTGAGTTCCTTATTAGCTCCCTTTATTCTGTCAACAACATTTTTCCCTTCAATTAGCTTGAGTGATATAAATGGGTATCTGTTCTCTGTGATACAAAAGCCCTTCACTGTAACACATAAGAAGCTGCAATAAAACCTCAAAGGCAGGCTGATCGAATCCACCAGCTTCTCTGTGGGAAAAGAATGGGCAATCTCCTCTCGTACAATTTACTGCCTCTGAAAGCCCACTAGAGGGTCAGCTATGGGTCTGTTCCAACTCAACACCACAGAACAACAACAACTCTAGTAGTAACAGAGCCAGGTAAAGAACACAGAACTTCTCTCAACTCACTGTGTTAGAGGATCGCTTGAGTCACTGCTGTTGAGTTGGAACCAACTCATAGCTGATCCTCCAGTGGCTTTTTGGAGGCTGTAAATTGGATGGAAGGAGATGGCCCATCTTTTTCCACAATGATGATTCTTCAATCTCATGGACAGAGACCTCAATGAGATCCATATCCAAATAAACTGTTTCCATCCAGCCAGGATCTCAGCCTATCTCTGTCTATCTTGGCCTACAAGTTGGAATATGGGGTTCAATAACTACAATCAGTATTGATGTGAGCGATGATCCAGGTATGCTGTGGAATGGAGCGTTAAGTGTTTTAGTTTGGGTTTTGTTTGTGTGTATGTTTTAGTTGCTTTTTAAAAAAATCAGAAGTAGTTGACTTTAATGTACAGAAATCTACTATGCATTGCTAACCTAAAGGCTGCACATCTTTGGTGGTTCAAACCCACCAGCAGCTCGTCAGAACAAAATGAGTCATGTCCTGTTAAGATTTATCACCTCAGAAACCCGGTGGAGGGTGAGTATGAGTCAGAATCGACTTTTTAACCGGCACTGCAAATGAACATAAAGATCTCAGTGACGGAGCAACAGCATTGCCTGGATGCTATGGGTAAGAGAGTATGAGGCATTACTAAGTAGGCAAAATAGGGCACACCCACACATTTAGGTCTGTATGATGAAATACTCAAGGCCAGTAATAACTGCATTAACCATGAAAGTCCAGTTACCATAGCTGAATACCAGCTGACAGGGCAGAGCCAACCGCTAATGCCTGTGCTCTTGGTTGTCAGTTCACCCTGACCTGTTTTGCAAGTGGAAGCAACCCTTATGTCTCAAAGCTACATGCCACTGAGTCCATGAGGGAAGGCAAAATCAACAAAGAGGTGCCAATAACAAGAAATAACTCAAAAAGGAACTGAAATGTGTGCTTTGTTCATATAGGACAACAGATCACTCAGTGTTTCAAGAAGTTCCAAGGATCATAGTATGATATGGTAGTGCTTAAAAATATTCAATAACAAGATGACATTCGTGCATGGGTGTTCCTATAAAGCATGTCTATTCTTCACTTACTGAATATTCCTCTGACATTTCACATTTACAACAGCAGTAAGAAGAATTATTTCAATATATTGTACATTGTTGTTACAAACCCTTGAGTCAGAGCTGATACTCCAGCAAGTTTTCAGAGGCAGTTTAAACACATGAAAGGAGACTGCCCATCTTTTTCCCACAGAGCAACTGGTATATTCAAACCGCATGCCTTTGGGTTGGCAGTGCTACTACCACTAAGCCACCAGAGCTCCCTTCTGTACATTAATGGCATACAACACCAAGACGCAAGGTGAAAGCAATGTGGGCTCCAACGGTTCATTGCGTGTCAACTGGGCCGGTCGTGATCCTCTGTGGTTTGCCTATTGTGTAATGATGTCATCTGGCACATTGGCAATTATGAAGTTGTCATCTACTTTATAACTGATGTGGCATCCTCCACTTTCTCATAATGCCCATTTTTATATAACATCCTGGTCTTTGGCATCTAAGCATGTAAAAACGATGAGGAGTGAGTGTAATGGTACTGTTTTCATATGATGAGCAATTAAGCTACCTTAAGAAGCAAGAACTAAGAGAACAGGGCCCAAAAGGAGGTATAGATTTCAGGGGGCTGATCCAGACAAAGATATGTCAGTATTCACGAAAATACTCCAGTCACTGACCCCAAAAGGTGGACAATGCACAAGTGTACACACTGGCATAGAAACAGAAGCCCTAAAGCAGAGAAAATCTGGAAGGAGATTGAAGGAGACTAGCCAAGCTCCCAGAGACACCAGAACATACCCACAGGCCCTTTTTATAAATGAGATGCCACCAGCTGTGTGCTGATGAAGACAATGTGAACAGCATCTTGTCAGCTTGTAGAGAACACAAGTGACAACTGCCCCTTTAATCGTCACCGGACACTTGGTTCCATGATGTTTACACTGGGCATGCTCGGTGTATCTTCAGAATTCTTAGGAAAACTGATAGCATGAGTTAAAACACTGTTACCTAGATTAACTATCTTGATCATAACCAAAATAAAATCTCCCTTTAGTAATGAGTACTTATTTCATGACAGATTTCCTTTTTATTTTTTGGATTCTGGGGCTTCGTCTGACATACTTTGGACATGTTGTAAGGAGAGACAAGTCCTTGAAAAGGGACATCATGCTTGGGAGGGTAGAGGGACAGTGCAGGAGGGGAAGACCCTCTATGAGGTGGATCGATTCAGTGACTGGGGTAATCAGGATGGGTGTGTCAGAGGCAATGTGATTGGCACAGGATAGAGCAGGGTTTAGGGCTGTTGTACATAGGGTCGCTATGAGTCGCAAATGACTCGACGGCACATAATAACAACAACAACAACAATGAGAGATATTTAAAAACATGTAATTATGGCAACTCAGAAAGATAATTTCAAGAGCTTGAAAATACTTTAAATCATTACAACAACTGGATGTCTTCATAACCTTGCAAAGTAATCCCTTAAAGAAGAACCTCAGCCAGGGGCTGCACAGCTACCCTGGGCAACTCTGCTAAGGCCACCTTTGATGCCATCTCAAAGACCTACAGCTATCTGACCCCAGATCTCTGGAAAGAGACGGTGTTCACGAAGTCTCCCTACCAGGAATTCACAGATCATCTTATAAAGACTCACACCAGAGTCTCCGTGCAGAGGACTCAGGCTCCAGCTGTGGCCACCACATAGTGGATTTTCTATAACAAATAAAGTGAATTAAGTTCTAAAAAAAATAAAAGAAAAGAAATACTCTCGATGAAGAATAAATCCTAGCAATATTTTTAAATCACCCAGGTATAAAGTCAAGAAATTTATAAATAATAACAGTTCTGATTTACTGATGTGCTCATCACCATGACAAGTCCAGTAATGAATTCTTATTCCTCTGTGGCATAGGAGGCTGGGAAGGAACGAAGCTGGATAAAGCTGGGCTGTGTAGCTGGAGGGCCCTGGGCCTGACCACTTTGCCCTCCTACCGGGCTGGGTCAGAGCTTGCCTCGCAGAGCAGGAGCTGTCTCCAGAGCTTTACTCTAACTGCTGCAAGGCCTGTGCTCACATCCTGAAACCTGTTCTGACCTCCAGGGCTGTTGAGTTACTGAATTTCAGGGCCTCCTGCAAGAGTTCCAGGAGCCTGGCTGCACACTCAACCCCAGGATGAGGCTTCAAACCACATTCAACTCACTTTGGGATGTCATTAAACTCGCACACATTTCTTCCCAAACACCCTCTCCTCTACAAATGCCACTTTCTTTCCTCTCTTCCTACTCCATCACAGCCTTGAGCTGTAGGGCACTGTGCCTCAACTGAGCTCAGTGCTGCTGAGAATCTACCTTGAGGCAGTGGCTACAAACAACAATGAGCCAGCATTATCAGCCAGATGAATGCCCGCCCACCCTCAGGAAGGGGTGGACAGCAGAGTCAGCTTCCCAGAGGACAGCAGAGACCTTCCTCAAGACAAGGGGCACTTCATGTGTCCACTACCATATTAATAGGAAAAATAATCTGTACATTTGAGTTTTACTCTTGTTGTTAAATATAAATGGAGGATAATGACATGGTCGATAAGTGAAGAAAAGGCGTACATACTTCTAAGCCACTGTACTATTACTGCAGCTGCTGTTAGGTACTACTAATAGGAAGACCGCATGCACCATGGAATGAAATGTTGCTGGATCTTGTTCCATTCTAATCACAGGCAAATCTCTGGGATCCATGTGATTTTCAGAAGCATATTACCAGGCTTTTCCGACTTTCTACTTCATCTTAGTCTGGAAGCTCCACCGAAATCAGGTCAGCATCACATCAATTTTCAAACATGCACTGACCAGGAATCAAACCAAGGCCCGTATGTAGAAGGCGAAAATTCTCGCACTGACCTCATATCACGAAAAGACTTCAATTCCAAGAAAAGATGATCAGAGAGAGAGTAAGACCTAATGGCTTTATAAATAAAAAATAAATAGATAAAAAGTCTAACTAAGCTTTGAAGTCAACTGGGCCAAGACTAAATGTGTGACCAAAACAAGTTACTGAGCCTGACTTTGATGTTCTCTATAAAATGAGAATCATCATTGAACACATGGGTTCTAGGAAGACTGAGATACTCATGCCCATAATATACACTAATTAATAGAGTGTTGATGACATAAAGTACCTTAATACACTGAATTGTATTCAGTCATCGTTATTTGTATTTTACAGCTGGCTAATAGAACATCCTGCATATATCAAAACCAGAAAATAGCGGTTGACCGGCATCAGGGGCTGCCAATGTGCATCATGAACTTCCAGTACCTATTTATGTGCAGGAAAAGCAGAAAGTGTACAGCAAAAAAGAGCAAAGCCAAGAGGTGTGTAGTGCACACTAGCAGAGCTGGCTGCTGTGACTGCAAAAGTTTTGTATTAACTAGGATGAGCTGAGAGGTTACAAACTGGCTTTCTGGCTCTGCTGGGCCAGGGGCTCTCAGCTGGCTCACAATCACAGAAGAATAAAAAGGAGCCCCGGGAAGAAATAGAAGAAGGAGCAAAAGAGGGGAAAGAGGAGCCCTGGGCCACAGGGAGGGGGTGGCCTGGTCCTGCGCTTTCGGGAGCCTATGCCCTCCCAGCAGCACGCAGCTCCCTATACACCAGCCTTTTCTCCATCAGATGCCCCTCAAGCCCCAGAAGTGCTCAGTTTGCAAGAAGGTGATTCTTTCATGTGTGAAGGGCATGATCACATCTGGAAACCACATACACACATGTTGTTATTGTTGTGTACCATCATGGTGGAACTGGTCCTTAGCTGATCCTCCAGTGTGTTTCTAGAGTCAGCTAACCACATAGGAAGCGACTGTTCATCTTTGTCCTGCAGAGCAGCTGTCGGATTAGAACCACGTACCTTCGGGACTGCAGCACAGCTGCTTACCACTAGGCTTTAGTCAGGTCCATAAAACCATTCCTCGTGTCGCTGCGCACAGCTGTGCCCCAGAAGCTGGTAAAAGTAGCCAGGAAGAGCCGGGGAGTAAGAGCCCAGGCAATGTGACTCCATCCACACACCAGAGCCTCTGGAGCAGCTGCCATACACCCTCCACAGGCATGCTTATGAGCACCTGTGCGGATGAAGGCAAAGCCTGCGGGACTAGGTGACAATTCAGAAAAACTACTTCTATCCCTAGAGCTATGTGGTTCGAATCCACCAGATGTCGTGCTGGAGAAGGAGGGCCATCTCCTCCTGTACCAGTCAGATCTGATTTGACAGTACACACACCAAAAATATTTAAAAAAAAAATAAAAAAATAAAACAACAACCTACTTTTGTCCAATTAACTCCAACTCAAGGTGGCCTCGACATGTCAAAGTAGAACTTGGCTCCATAAGGTTTCCAGTGGCTGATTTTCCCCCCCAATTTTTTTGTAGACTGTTAGGCCTTTCTTTCAAGGTTCCTCTGAGTCGACTCGACCCTACAACCTTTCAGTTAGCAGCTGAGCGCATCAACCTTTTGCACCACTCAGAAACTGGTAACTTAGAGCACTGCTCTGACCCCACATGGCGAGCAGGTCCCATCAGTAGAAGTGTCTTCTGCCTAACAAAGACCCTGAGATTTGAGTCATTAGCTCTAAGAAGCATGGTTTCTTCATTTCTTCCTATTTTAAAACAAACCCCTTCTCTAGATAAAATGTGAGCTGGAACGAAAGCGCAGCTCCCACCTAGTGAGGGGACTGTGGGGCAACTGGTCAGTACTGGTGATTCCATTCCCTAGTCTATGAACCATGGTATGTAAACCCAGCCCTGCTCATCCTACAGCTTTACATTTGGAGGATACGTCAGTCTTCTAAGGGCGATTTCCTGCTATCCTCACTGGTCTCAAAAGAATAAAAATGACAGCAAGAACTCTGACTTCCCCTGTCAATTTTCTCTTAGCACAGGGCCAGCCAAGAAACACAGAACACTATCAGCATTCTCATTCAAAACGGGAAAGTTAGCCATCTGTCAATACAGGGAGCCAGCCGACCCAGGATGGGGTTTAATCCTGTGGAGACAAAGACGCTATTTTTTAAAGGGAGACCCTGAACTCTCATTTCTAGAATCAATAGTGTGGTGGGGAGATAAATGAAGGTACAAAACAGAGCTAGGAAGAAGGCTTTCCACCGGGTAGACCAGGACTCCAAGGCGGCTCATCAAAGGCTCCCGCAGCTCTTAAGGATTCCCCTAATCGATCTTTAAAACTGAAAGCGCTACTAACTACACCTGCCTGCCCCTCTCTCTCCCTCTCTACCCCTACATAGTTACTGTTTTGTCTTAGTCCATTTTTGTCAGGCAATTCCATTGACCTGAAGACTGGTGAGCATCAGAGCCACATTCAAGCTGGTTACTGATGTAGCACTGGCCAAGAATCGAGCCTGAGTCCCACACACAGAGTGGGGGAATTCTACCACTGAAATACTGGTACCCCAAGTACCAAGCACCAGTAAAGTCTACTGAGACAAAAAAACACAATCCCCTCATTCATGGGATTTAGAGTATCACGGTAGAATGAGTTAACTAAATCATCACATGAGAATATGTCCAGTGATGGCAGAGGCAGGGACATAACAGCACGAGGTCATCTGGGCAACTAGCAGCTGAGACAGGGGCCTGTGGGGAAGCACCAGCTGCACAAGCACCCAACACCACTGCAGCACAGGCTGTACATGTGCCAAACGAGGATTAACCACATGCTGGGGTGCTCCCAGCTGCAACACAAGCCACACCAACAATCAGGAAGGGACCAAGGGCAGGAGGAGGGTGTAATTACCCACGGAGCACCAACACTCAAGGCAGGCAAAGACATGCTGTCTTCCAGCTGTTTGTGTATCATTAGAAAAGAAATTAAGATGTCATTAGGAAGAAATTAAATAATGTGCATGTTGTCGTCACAACAGAGATGCTGGCTGCCAGATCTCACTGTGCAGAGACTGCCCACCCAGTCCCTCTCCCGGATCAGGTCTGCAGCAACGAAGGCAGAGACCGCTCACCAGTGCTCTTCCCTCGGTAGAAGACCTTCATGTCCATCAGCCCAGTGAGCTGGCTGGCCAGGATCTCCATCTGGGATCCGCTGTATTTGGAAGCTCGGAATATGCTGAGCTGTGACCAGTCATCCCAATAGATCTCATTCTGAAAAAGAAAAGTCTCCTGTTTAATCCAGCTCTGTGGTGCTGCATTCTAAACCCCATAAACACAAGAGTCCCCTCCAACAGTGGATATTTGACATTTAAGACTGGCCTGGTAAAGATTCTACTTAAAATCAACAGCCGGTGATTTTACTCAAATCTCACCAAACAGCAATACAGAGAACCTCAACCTGAAAAACTCAAGTTTAATTCCAGCTTTCATTTCAAAACCTTCCTTCCAAAGTTGGGGAAGAATGAATCTGTGCTCGAGAATTGAAACTAATAGTTGACATAGATGGGGTTCCCTTGACATTGTCACAGAAGAAAGTGAGCAAACCTCACCAAAGACAACAAACTTTAGCTAAGATAAGGTTACCAACACGGAGAAGCAAGTCCTGAGTATCCACAGGAATGAAGGAAGCTCACCTGGTAACCTTCTGATATCTGAGAAGAGAGACTGGCCCCTGACACCTCTGCCTGACAGCCTTCCCTAATTAATTATGTTGTTATTGTTGTTGATGACCTTCCAGTCAAGCATGCATGACTCAGTGACACCATATTTATCAGAGTTCATAGAGTTTCTGGAGGCATGTTGTTTAGCAAGTGGATGCCACTCCTGCTTCCAAAAGTAATCATACAAATTTTTTTGTTTAACTATTATGATGATAATAATAATATCAAACAACCAGGGAGCTCTGGTGGCTTAATGGTAAGGAATTGCATGCAGCCAACCCAAAGGTATGTAGTTCGAATCTACCATCTGCTACACAGGAGAAAGATCAGCACTCTACCTCCAGAAACCTACTGGAGGGTCAGCTACGGGTCGGTGATGATAAACAAAAATAACTGTGATGATAATACCAAAATAAACCATACAAATAAAAAATGAGCCCACTTTATAGAAAACAGACCAGCACCTCTGCAAAAATCCAAAGACAGGCTTTGAACCTCCAGATGATGCTATTCATGAGGAAGCTGTGGTGGCCTAGTGGGAAAGGAGTTGTGCTGCCAACACAAAGGCAGGCAGTTCATATCCACCAGCTGCTCCGAGGGAGGAAGGTGGTTAATCTCCTCCTGTGTGATGTACAGTCTCTGAAATCCCACTGGAGGATCAGCTATTAGATGGTTCTGAGTCAATGGCAATGAGTTTCAGCTGCTGCTTACAAACAGCCTGACAACCGCCAGTGGAGGAAACACAGAGGACTCGCCTTAAAGACCGCAATGGCGTAGGGGTGTGGGAGGTTGTCCAGGATGACCGAGCGCTGCTGGCCGCTGAAGCCGATCCGCTCAATGCAGTCCAGGTAGGCATCGGTCCAGTAGATCCACTGATCGTCCACAGAGATGCCGTTGGGCCACTTGACATCCTCCGACACGAGGCGAAGCACAGCAGAGCCATCCATGTTGCTGCGGTAAATGCCAGGCCTCAGGTCGCCCCAGTCAGTCCAGAACATCACCCTGACCAACACAAAACAGCACAAAGCCATCAGAAGGGAGGAAAAGGGAGCTCATGTACTTCCCAAACAGGCATGGGAGCCCTCCAGAAACATCGTTGATAGTCTATGATTAACATTTTAAAAACATTTGATTCCTTCATCCTGAAGGCTCTCTCCTGGAAATTATATTATGGATAGAATCACATTATGCAAATACAGTGTACAAAGATGTTCACCACAAATTTGTTTATAGCAGAAAAAAAAGTATGTATGTGAATTGTATGCATGTGTGTAAATAGTATGTGAATTACATATATGTATGTGGATTGTAGGGAGTTCTGGTGGCCTAGTGGCAGAAAGCTGTGCTGCAATCCTGAAGGCACATAGTTCAAGGCCACCATCGCTCCACAGGAGAAGGATGAGCAATCTCCTCCTGTGCGATTAACTGTATCTGAAAACCTGCTGGAGGATCAGCTATGGGTTGGTTCCGACTCCATGATGCACAAAAACAGTGTGAACTGTGGTGATGGAGAAAAACACTGAATATCCCATGGACTGTCAAGAGAACAAACAGATGTGTCTTGGAGAAAATGGAACCAGAGTGCTTCTTGGAGGCAAACCTCTCACATATGCCTCTGCAAAGTCTGTGAATTCTGAGAAACAATGATAGGCTACAAGTCTTTTGTTCCTAGGGTCACTCTGAGTCATGCTCAACTAGACAGCAATCAACAACAACAATTCGGTGGAAAGGGATATCATGATTAGAAAGGCTGAGGGTCAACAAAAGAGACAAAGACCTTTAACAAGATAGATTAACACAGTGACTATGGCAAAGGGCTCAAGATTGGGGATAAGGATGGCACAGGAAAGGACAGGGTTCAGATCTGGTGATCATAGGGTCACTATGAATCATACTCAACTTGATGGCATACATATATACATACATACAGTAATCTCAAACTGTAGAAGAAACTATAAATTATGCATCCAGTAAAATGCTAAAAATCCTCATAATCTGAGTGTACTTTCATAAACCACCTCTAATAAAAATAAAAATATGTAGAATAATTAATATATCATGATTCTATTTGACAGATGTGTGTTTTAGAGAAACTTACTGTATAGAGTAAAAAAATTAAATTCTAAATGATACATAAAAAAACTAGTAATAGTGATTAATCATAGGAAGTTTGAGTACAGATAGTTAAATAGGAAAAAGGAGAAAAGAAGTATTTTTACTTCAGATTAGGGAGTGTTCTTTCACTACTTTCAATAGAGTGTATCTTACTTTTATGTCTTGTTATGTGTCGTTGAGTCTGAACCAATCTATAGAGGAACCTCCAGCAGGTTTGGTGAGCCAGTAAGTCACACAGGAGGAGACTGTCCATCCTTCTCCTGAGCAGCCACTGGTGGATTTGAACTGTGTACCTTTCAGGCAAGCAGTGCAGCTCCTTACTCATTTAGGTCACCAGACCTTTATATGATTCCTTATATAATTTTCTTTTACATTGTCATTCTACCTCTCAATTACAAATGCTCTGAGAGGGGGTCAGAGTAAAAAGACTAATCCAGAATTTTCCTCTTCATTATATTTCTTGCTGTTAAAATGGTCATTAAAATGCTCTTTCTTGGCTTAAGTACATGCCTACTGCTAGTGAAAAAGAAGAAACTTCATTCAACATCCTAGGAGACAGTGGCCTGAATACATAGGTGGCTCTGCACAAAACTCACCATATCTAACTCAACCTGACTATCTCTATTGAAACACCGTTTTTCATATTTCTTTTCAGGGGAAACAGACTACAAACACAAGGCAATTGGATGTTGAAAGAGATTCAGACGCTTACTAGTGAGAAGAGCTTGGGGTTACCTGACCAAAAGGTATGGTAAGCTGTGGCTTAAAAACATCTCAGTTGATAGATTATTTCAACCACAACCCTGAGAAACCATTTTTGTCCAGCATTTTGCCTTTCCAGGAGACACCAGCTGTGGCAGCTGACACAATGCTGATTCCCCTTCTGGGACGCACTCACCCCTCTTGTGGCACAAGGACCAGAGCCCTAGGCCGGTCAAGCACAGAGGAATTGACGACTGCCAGTCGAAAGTCGCCATCTGGATTAGCTACCTGGCAAAAAGAGGAAAAATATAAGAGGAAGCTTAAGCTCTTTAAAAAGCTCACATTGCAAATTGCCCACCCATTCCCTGCCCACAGACACATCCCCTTAGCCCACCTGACACTCCTGACAAACCCATCTAGAAATCCTCCCTGGTACCAGCCAGCAAGCTGCCCACATCTCTCTGGGTCCTTGTGATTTTCAGATGGTCTGACACAGAAGCCAGGATGATTTGTACAAAATAAAGGGTCAGGTGTGTCAGAGATGGTGAGGCTGGCTCAGAATAGGGTAAACTTCAGAGCCATTGCTCGTAGGGTTGTTATGAGTCGTAGTCACCTTGATGGCACATAACAACATAACAAGTATTTAATTATATGTTAATATTTTTTTTGAGGATTAGAATTGCCAGAGAAGCTCAACATTCTAGTAAGCAGCACAACTTACTACGGACTACATCATTGTTCTACACTTTCCATAAAATAAGTCCTCCATGCCACTGGCTTGCAAATTAATCTCCATGTAAATCAGACTGGTCCTACATTCCCTGTCCTTCTTCACCTCCCACAACATCAGGCTGGTCTTCTCATAAGAGTCCACATCTGGTGCACACTCTCTCCTGCCCACCCTACCCATCTGACAGCCCTCACTAATCAAACATTGTTTTCCCTTCAAAGACCACTTGCTGGCCCACTTCTCTCCCTAACTCTTCTCACCCACTCTGACCACTAAGTTCCTGTATCTCTTGTGTTGACTCAGCTTTGTACAAACAGTATATGAACTGTAACTTGTCTCAGGCCAAGTCTGAAAGGGTAGAGACCCGAGCTTCACCTGCATCCTGCTGGCACCTAGCAAAGTTTCGGTCCCAATTAAGAAAGGAGAGGGAAAGCAGTAACAAGACCACCTACACACACTCAGTACACGCCAGGCAGGGGGCATCTTTCCACTCATTCATATTCATGAGGTGAACACCATTACCATCCTCCTCATCAAGGCCTAGCTCAGAATGCAAGCTCCTAATGCTGCCCCAACTCCCTACTCAAAACATCGCAGTCCCCTGTTTTCAATCTTTGCAACTCATCACCACCAAAACTCATGTGTTTACTTCCTTATTACATAACTTGGTTTCACCACTAAAACTTAACTCTAACAGAACCTGGAACTCAGCTACTTGCCTGTCATCAAAACCTAAAAGCATACTTGGCCCGCAGCATACCTTCAAAAGGCTCTTGCTGGTTGAGAGAGGAGAAGTACCTTGCCTGAAGCCATTAAGCTAAAAAGGTATAGGCCAAACCTGCATCCATTTCTCATATTTGTGTCTTTGGTCTTGTACCTTCTCTTAATTCTCTGTCCTTGTGTACTGTCCACTCAGCCCAGAATACTATACTTTTGTGTAGAGAGAAATGACAGCCAGTACTTCGAGGCCTCAATAATAACTTCCAAGAGTTGAGACAATAATGCTGGTGGTTTATAGGCCATTCATTACCCTCATGTTACCTGAGAGACACCAGGGAGAAGAGGGTACTAGGTAGCTAAGTCCCATATAAGTACAATAGGAAACGACAGAGCCTATCCCACAGAGCTGCTGTGAAAAGTGAGTTAGATAATTCATGTAAAGTGGGCCCAATATGGCTCAACAACCACTAATATCCATCATCATTATTAACAGTAATAACAGCTTTAAGGTTATTATTACTCTAACAATGCTATAGTATTATTGTTACAGCATTACAATATTATGGTATAGAGCACAAATAAATTGTTTAGATCATAACACTATGATTGATTATTGTTATTACTCTATGCTTCTCTACTAACCAAAAAGATGTCTTTTCTGACATATAAATGAAATTTCTGTTTGGTGGATTGGGGTATCCTATTCTCATATAAGGCCTTCCTGGCTGTAAGTAATCCTTCCCTCCTCCAGAGGCTCCTAGAAATTTCAAGAATAATCTAACACACTGGTTATTGCTTGGAGCCCAGATGTTCCAGCTCTACTTTGTTATGGACAACTGAGGAATGCACATACCTCAATCTTCTTAAAGCCAGCATCCACCCAGTAAAGCAACTGGCTCAGGGGTTCAAACGCCAGAGCTTCAACGGTCTCCAACCCGGAATTGATGATCACCTCCTGCCCTGTACTTCCATTCAAACACAGGCGCTACAGATAGAAAAGGAACAACCAAGCAGTGGAACCCTCAGATGGCCTCCTGCCCCATCAGTCCAAGGAATGGTCAGGCTTTGTTGAGTAGGTTTACATGGCAAAGGATGAGATGATCTATATTAGTGCATCTTCATATAAATGAAATGGGATTTAAATAAAAGCATTTCCAAAATGTATTATGATTTCCTGTTTTAAGAAAACAATGAAACAGAATATAAACATTTTCATCACACCTCACTGTTATGAGCGCATGGGACCAGACTCATCAAGTGATGAGGTGGGAGATTAAGGTGGTATAGGAGGAGTCTGTTCACATTTAAAATTAATGAAGCCAGACAGCAATCTCTTAAACTCTTGTGGTTGATTTTTATAGCATTCCTTACTTGTGAGCCTCCTGGCTGTTGGTAATGCTAAGGGGCTTCTCTGCTCAGAGGTCACCACCATCCACCCAAACCTCCACCCTCATGTCAAACTCTCTACAACTGTTCTTGCACTACAAGTCCAGCTAGGGCTTCCTAGCAATGCTTTCACAAAAGAGTTAAATCAGCAGTGAATAAGCCCCAAATGGCTCTCATTTAAACTGTGTGAGTGGTGGGTGGGTGGGTGTGTGTGTGTGTGTGTGTGTGTGTGTGTGTGTGTGTGTGTGTGTGTATTTGCCTATCCAGAGATCCTCACAACTTCTTTTCTGGTTCTTGTCTGTGTTCAGAAAAGCTGACAAGAACAATAATATGAACTGTGCAATAGAAGAGACCAGTCCTTCAAAACAGACACCAGGCTGTTGAAAAGTGAAAGGTCATCTAAGAGAAGAAGACCTTCAACAAAATGGGTTGACAAAGTGACTGTAACAAGGGGCTTGAGCCTGACAGGGATCACAAGGGCACTACAGGAAAGGACGAGGTTCACCTCTGCCGTCCATGAGGTCAATATGTGTCACAGTCAACTCAACAGCACCTAACAACAACATGAATAAGTCAGGTATGACGTTATCAGCTTGGTGTCAAGGACCTAAAGAGTTTAGGACAGTAAGAGGGTCACTATTAATCCTACATCACCAGTTCAAACACCACGCCAGCAGGAAAAGTGACCCCTCCCTTATAAACAAGAGAGAAGATGTAGGTCTTCCTTTCTCTTTATTACATGAGCAAAGAAAGAGAAAACATAAAGTTAGGAAACGTAAAAGCATCATTAGTGGGCTCCGAAATGAGTAATGCTTACAAAACTCCAGCCAGCTATTTCTTTAGGTCTTATAAATGACGTTTATCAGAGTTAGATACTCGGGCTTGGGCAATTAGAAGGCACAGCCCTCAGGGCTGGTCCAAGGCTGACTCACCTGGATGATGTCCAGGGCCAGGTCAGACCAATACAAGCAGTTGCGCTCATAGTCAAAGTCCAGGGCCACTGCTGCCCGCAGGCCAGTGAGAGGCAGCTGCTCCGTGGCCCCCGAGGCCAAGTCATAGCGGTGGATGGATTTCCGCATGGCGTACAGGATGAACTCATTCTCCTCTGTGGAGACAGATAGCAAGGAGGTTGGGCGCAGCATGTGACATGGTCCTCTCCCATCTGACATTTTTTTCCTCATCCACAGCCCTACTGGCTCATCAAGGATCATAGGAAATCAAGTCAAGGGACATTGTGGAGAAACTGGAACTCTTATTCACTGTTGGTGGGAATGTAAAATGGTGCAACCACTATGGAATGCGGTATGGCACTTTCTCAAAAAGTTGCAAATAGAGATACCATTTGACCCAGCAATTCCACTACTGGGAATATACCCCAAAGAGACCATAACTGCCATTCAAGCAGATATATGCACACCCATGTTTATCGTGGCTTTATTCACAATAGCAAGGAGTT